GGTATCCGGCGGTATCCGGGTGGTATCCGGTGGTATCCGGGCGGTATCCGGCCGGTATCCGTTGGTATCCGGGTGGTATCCGGTGGTATCCGGTCGTATCTGGGTGGTATCCGGTGGTATCTGGGTTTCCGATTTTGGATGTTTTGATTTTGTACCTTAGAGAGGTATTAACCTGTTCTTTGTTTGGCGGCATTCCGCCTATATGGCTGTTCTTTTGTGGCGGCGTTCCGCCTTTATGATTGTTCTTTAAGTTTGGCGGCATTCCGCCTATATATATATATGTATATAAATAAATATAAATGACCGTTCTTTGATTGTTTGTTTGTTTGGCGGCATTCCGCCTTGTTGCGGTTTGTTCGTTTGGCGGCATTCCGCCCACATCACAACACGGACACACACACACACACACACACATTTTGGCGCACACATACATTGATGCGGAATGCCGCACGCATAGAAACATTAGGCGGTAGTCATTTTTCTAAGGTTTTTGTTATGTTTTTTGAGAAAAATTATGTTTTGCAAGTTTTTTGCACACAGTTTCATTTTTGCAAAGATTTCATCATCTTTCACGCTCAAACTAGTTACAGAAGTTAGTAACTTCCGCAACTTTACTTATAACTAAGTTATGATAAGTTCAATATAACTAACTTATAACTTTTTTAAGTGTGGCATCTTAAGTTATAAGTTCTTTAACTAGGGGGGCCCCATGGTGTATGACTATGGGGGATTCCTTGGCGGCATTGACCAACGTCTTGGAAGGGACCGGAGATGGAACAGGAACAGAATGCCGGTTGGGGGGAGACAACCAAGCTGGTCTCCGAATTCTTGAAGCGCCAGATGGACCCTGGAGGACACGCCACCTTCGCCTTCGAGCTCATGCTTTACGAGAGCGAGTCAAATGGGGCGCTTGGAAGGTGATCCATATCCCAGGTCAACATTTGGTGGCCGACTTCCTGACGAAGCCGATTGGAGTTGCAGCGAGATGGCAGCACTTCTTCGTGGCGATGGGGATGAAACCAGTTGTGGAAGCTTCCTCTGAGAGTTTAGGGTCCAAAGTGGCCAGGATCGCAGCTCTGGTAGGTGGACTAGCGGGCGTACTGACGTGGCGGCCATCAGGTTCCACGGGCAAGGCTGCTCAGAGCCTAGCCGTAGCTGCGATGGTAGCTAGTTTGGCCACCAGCTGGAGAGCCGGCTGTGATTCTAAGAAGAGAGCCACTGGGCCGATAAGAGATGAATATGCAGATCCACCATATGGACTTCAAGATCAGGTGAGGGAAGATGAACCCGCCTGCAGTAGAGAGGATGGGTCGGAAGAGGAACCCATTAGTGAACCTAGCCCTGAGGGCTCCCGGGATTACGCGGTAGATGTGAGCCATGGCGGCCACTCGAAGAGGGCACGATTGGCCGCTCTGAGGGAGGGATCGTCAACAGGGCTCGGAGGGACATCGTCGACGACTGCTGGAGAGGTTCCAGTTGTGGACTACGATCGACCCTGGATGTGGAGGAGGTTCACTATGCCTTCGAGGGGTCAAGATCGATGGGACCGACTTCCAGGGGGATGGTGGGTCAGACATCATGTGAAGCAAAGGATGAGACCATTCCATCCAATTCATCGACACACACCTATGGACTGTAGCCACATTCAAGATCGGAGAATTACCGTGTTGTGGTGCCATGGGAAAAAGGTGATCAGGGATGATGAATGGAGGAGAGACACGGAACCACCAATGAGGGACCCCTGGGTAGGATATACTTTCTTCAGGGATCTTCATCCAGACCCAACGGCGGGGACTTTGACTTCGACCTCCAGTTCATCAACTACCAGAGGACAGGGCGATAGGACGTCTTCCTCGATGAGCGGTTCACTGACTTCCGGACCACCGCCAATGCCGGGCATTGCGGAACATGGTCCAGAGATGGAAGGAGCGCCTCGAGATGTCCGACCAGATCGTCAAGGACAGGATCCGAATCCGGTGGAATCTGGTTCGGAACTCAGCACAAGGGTGAATGAGGGAGCAAGTAGCAGTGGCATTGGAGGCTATGGGCAGCGGCTTCATGGCCATCAACAGCGAGGAGAAGTTGAAGGATCGGGGACGTCTGGAGATTCCCGAGAGCTTTCCTTGGTGAGTGAAGAGATGGATCGAGGGTGGGATTATGACCCTGCCTATTGGGCACAAGGACCTGGAGGACATGATGGAACCACGCTGGAGGATGATGTACGGGATGATTGGCTGGCGTTCATGCGGGACTTGACCGTTGATGCGGGATCCCCTGTGGAGAACCGGCCGGTGGAGAGTGAGTCGAGCAGTGCAGAAAGACCTGACTGGAGGAGAACTCTGGCCAGTGAGGATGAAGAACCGCCAACCTTGGACGAGATGACCGCTCAAGGGTGGAGGGTGGTGCGAAGCAACTTGGCACCCCCGAATCGAGAAATCTACAGAGGACCAGATCCTGTACTACCACCAGCTGAGGACCAAGATGGGGAGATGCCAACTTGGATGGGGGTGTCCACGCAGATGCCAGTGAGGCCCAGGTCAAATGACCCTTGGGAGCCGCGTCGCGGTTTTTCTGGAACCTCAAGGGTTCGTGAAGACTCAAGCGAGTCAGATGATTAGCTCTCGATGGCTTGAACCAAGCCAGGGGGAGTGTGATTCATGAAGTGCACAAATCAAAAAGTGTACAACTAAACCTCGTAGAAAGCCAAGCGCTACGAGTGTTTTCGTCTTACTTTGGCTCAAGTTTGAAAAGGCCCGACGCGCTGGGCATCCCATGTCATAACCACAGTTTCAAAAGCCGGCTCGGATGACAGTCTTGGGTTGCAATAGGCTGGGACGAGACTTGAATCGGACCGTGACTCACGATGATTTGATGGATCCCGACTGTTTCAATCACCGATCACCTGCGCAACCTGTTTAAAGCCTGAACTGGGGTTATTCCCCAGAGCGGCAGTTGATCCTCCTCATATCGTTGCAGCGTTGCACAACTCCGGCCGGGAGGAGAACTGGGCATATTACAAAGTTAGCCTTTCTGCCTTTGTGTGCTAGTTGTTTATGTTTTTTGGGGAGGAATTTGCCGGGAGTACAAGCCAGAACCTTTGACCCCAACTGTAGAGAAGAGGAACCACATTAAGCAGATGTTGATGGTATAATGGTACGCGGGTTTTCGTTGGTTTTAGCCTTAGCTCTTGAACACCACAGGGGGTCACTGAGGAGGTCACTCAGGGGGTCACCCATCATCATACTGACGACAACTTGGGTCTGACCCGTTTTTGGGAACTCTTCAAAGCATGGACTACCTTCTGAGGTGAAAGTGGAGACTTTCAAGGATCGATTCCAAAGGTGATGTCCATAGACTGTGATTGCTGGGAACCTTCAAGGGCTCCAAACCATCACGCTGAACCATCGTCTTCGTCTCACTCCCGACCGAGTTTCACTCAATCGGTGTTGCCTTGAACCTGATTGTGGAGGTATTTTTAGAGATACCCAGACGCTCCGTTCACAGCCCTTGGTCCCTCAAAACCTAGGGATTTGAGACGCCAGACCCCTCCAGAGGATTCGGGTTCGACCCTCCATATGATACCATATGAGGGTCCAGGTCGCGTCTGAGTACCATTGAAGTCACCATAAGTCACCTTGGAACCCGTCAAACTACGGGGTCCACAAGGTCCACACAGTGCATGCAGAGGATGCGAACGTGCTTGAACTCTTTGACTCTGGCTCTTTGAACGGGCCAGGACTGCCAGTCACCCCAATCTGTCATTGAGATTCGTTGAGACATTCTGATTGACCGTTGGTTTTCTCAGCTTTGCTTCAGGTGCTTCGTAAGGTTGTAGTATTGTGATTTCTTGTGTCGTGATAAACCGCTTGTTTGCTGGTGACAGACCATGAAGGGGGTAGCTGGAGCCATGTGGACTTGGCGCCATGTTACTCAGTCCAACCTTGCTAAGCCAGGTTGGAGCCCGGAAATGGCCTTGTGGCTGACATATATCGTTCGCAGCTGTGATTCAGTTGAGTAACACAGGAGGGTGGCCCCCAGGTGGTCTAGATCGATGAAAAGCACAGACTGGCATGGATGGATGGGGGCCGCCGTACCATAGACACTGAGATCCATTCGATCAAAAAGTGACATCAGCGCGACATGGAGCACCATCCAGTGGTGTTCCTGCGGACAATTGAGGTGCCTTGTTGGTGCCGTTTTCATCTCATGGAGGCCAACAGTTTGGGGGGGTTGTCTACGTCGGTGGACTCGGAGACCAAGTTGGATTTGAATCCACACCAAGTGGTGATTGTTTTCTTCCTGAAACTCCTGGTCCAGGAGTCCAAATTGTAGACAAGGTATGAAAAGGTGAACATAGATAGTAACATCGATCGTGCGTGGATTCCACTTGGTCTAGTAGGTACCTTGACCCTCCTTTCAACCCAGTTCTTCCACTTTTTGTTCGTTCGTGGAGTACCCAGAACGACCAGGACCTGACCACAAAAAACCGCTCCTCTCCACCGCTTCGCTCCGCCACCCGTTCGCTCCGCGCAGAACCTGTGCCGCTCCGTCACGGGGCCCTTGCGGCTGGTTCTACGAGTGCCTCCCGACGAGGCGCGGTGCGCGGATCCGCGGTGCGCGGATCCGGCACGGCCGGCGAAACGGTCACCGTCTTCGGAGACCCGAAGGGGGTTTCGGAGACCCGAAGGGGTTGAGACCAAGGGTTTCATCCAACCAGGCTCCTTTTTTGTTGGGAGGCTGGTTGGGAACACAGAACTTCCAGAATTCGACCGAGGATGGTGGATCTGGTAGATGCTGGTGTGACAGCTCCATCATGTTGGAGTACGATGTTGTGTTTTGCTTTCCTCCCAAGATGCACTGGTGCCAGCTGTTACCAGATTGGTGCATTGGACTTTAGGCTTAGAAAGGTCTTGTGGGCAACAGCAGAAAAGAGAGTCAAGGAGCCTGATTCGCTGATCTGAGTGAAGATGACATGAGTGGGGCTGCGGGTCGAAACCTAGATGAATCAGATGAACACTTCCTGTAAATCTATTAGTACCGTGATATATATATAATAAATCATTATACATCTATCGTCCATCCCTTTGATCAGTTGATGCTCACTGAAGGCAGATTTTGAGTAGGAAGGAACATAGATGAAAACCCCTCTTCCTTGCGACTCAGTCTTGTGCACATCGCACCGTCCCAGAAATAGATGAACAAACACTCTATTTGGATCCTGATTTTGTTGTTGTTGTTGGTGGTGGTGGTCGTGGTGGTGGTGGTGGTGGTGGTGGTGGTGGTGTGATACAATATTTTTTGTCCAGCCTACAACTTACCAATGGAATATGTTGGAGCTTATTTGTTTTCAAAGTCGATGTCTATATAGTGATCTTCAATGTGTGTTAAACGCATGTCCAACAAAGATGTGGTGGACACATTGACATTGCAGTAAACATGTGCGTCATTGTTTCTATTTATATGTACCATCAAGGGATTCTTCTTGTTCGGCATCGGCCTCATCATTCAACTCTCGAAACCAGCGTTTGAAGCTCGAAAATGACCTCAAAAGGGAACCGCCCAAATTGGAGTCTTTTGCAAGTCAGTCTGGAGGGCACATTCTATCTCCACAGCAGCATCTTGATCTCGGGTCAAGCCAGCCAATGACATGTTTTCGATTCAATGATTGAACGAAGTGCAACCCACACGTTGAATAATTACACCATCTCTAGGACTTTCTCAAGGGTGGGAAATCCCTTTGCAGCGGTTCCTTGCCATGCTCGACCAGGTGACCGGCCTACATGGAGCGCTTCCTGCATGCGCAGAGGCCAAGGGCCTTTGAAGAGTTTGGCTTGCGTGTTCAGTGTTCTCTTTACTTGGTATACTTAGTTGTATGTAATTTGTTGTATTTACTTATTCAAAGATCTAGATCCACACCGTTTGCAAGATTTTGTTTGTGTAGCCGTAGCTTAGGACCATCAACATGCACCCCAACCTTGGCACCCAATGTTTTGTTTGCAATCATTGATGACTCTCAAACAAAAGACTAAAGACACATCATAGAGATCATCCCATGGCATACACAGCTCCTCAAATTCTTGAGTTCAATAACCAAAAGGGTTTTGTGTGTTTCAATTGTCCCTTCTTCCATGGGGTCTTTGGGAAGTCTCCCTATTGAAATACACAAATATGTACTCCCCCGGACGCTTGGCATGCCAAAGAAGCGCCTCACCAGCACCCTGTCAACCTCCAAGTTTGCAGGCAAAAGCTGTCCAGGCGTGTTGAAGGGGATTGGGACGACGGGGCTCCATGGAAATCACTGCCCATCTCTAGAGATTTGGATCGGATGGATCCTTTTCCCTGCGAAGAAAGCAGCAATGGATTCTTCAACCGAAGATGGATTCTTGCCGAGCAAATCAGTGGAACAGACATTGAACCACTGTCATAGTGCATTGATGAAATTTGCTGCCAAGCAGTTCCAATCAAATATATTTATATATGCGTACTCGATTCAAGAGTCGATCAACCTCGCATAGAATCCAGGCCTTTTACGAGCGTTTGGTTGTCATAAAGCAGACTCTCGGAAATGTCCCAAAGAAGAGCGATGCACGTCCACGAACTTTTCTAGAATTTCTACAGGCGATGTGGGTCAAAGCAAGGTTTGACCCAAAGCACTTATTCTTATAGGAAACACTCCAAGTCGCTTGGTAGTGTTCGCATTTCTGGGAGGTGTTGATTCAATTGAAGAAACACATACCAATTGATCTTTTGCCCCAAGACCCCGCTGGACGTGTGGCCTGAGTGGCCTGAAGTATATGTACCGTGCTCCAAAGCCCGGGACGGTCAATCCTCATCCCGAGCTCGGCTCCCAGAAGGCAATGGACATTGCATGAATGGACAGGGACAGCTTTCAACATCATATCTTTTGACTCGGAACCCGACGTTTGGTTGGTTTTCGTAACAATGTGGAAGCCTCGTTGTCCTTCCAGTGGTCTCTAAACACAGACTCTCCGTGTTGACTTGGTCACTCCGCTGTTTGCGGGGTCTTACGCCAGGCAGGCTCCCGGGCGGGCGAAGTCATGCGACGGAAGTTGGAGTTGCTAAAGAGCTGCTGGATGTGACGTGGACGAAGCGGACTGCAATTCCTTTCCCAACAATCCATGGGACTGGAATATTGACTTACACTGACCCTGAATCCAACATCTTCAATCCATCCTAATGTAGGGAAATGTTATTCCATTCCCATGGATTGTTTGGGCTTTTGTCTCCTGCCTCTCCTGACCGCATGACTTCTGTTGTTTCATTGGAAAGGTTCGACCCTAGACACTAAACCCAAAACTTGAAGGAGTGTGAGTGTGTTTTCAGGGGTGTCAAACTGCAAGTATGACAAGGCCCAACTCTCTGAAAGCAAGCATAATAGCAGAAATCACGGATCATTGTCATTGGTACTGAGGAGAAGCAATTGTTTTGTTTTAATCCACCGTGTTTACTGTAACCGCAACAAGTGTTAAGGTTTTCGAAGCTTTGTCATAACTTGCCTTTCCTTTGAGGTGTAACATTGTTTATTTGGCAAGTACTGCACAACTTGTCCATGTTTTTTTTTTTAAATGTTTTTTCCATGCGATTGACAAGGTGGTTAGCGATGTGTCAGATGGGTTTGGATTGTCCTAAGTGCGTTTTGAGTCGGGTTGGATCCATCTTCTTAGCCAAGCGCTTTGCCCGGATAAAAAGAACTTGGGTGTAAGCTTTGGTCATTCAACCTGGCTCCGAACTCAGCATGACGAGGTGTGTGACTTGGTTCCTGTACACGCACGAGCTCTTGGGTAAGTTCGCGCCTGGGCACCCGGGTGTCCAGAAAGGAAGTGTTTGCTAAGGCAGACACTGTTAGGGTGGATGTTTTTGGAGTTTCGCAATTAGTACTTTTAGAGTCGAGTGACAGCAATTCTACTGCAAAACCACTCCTTTTATATATTGCGAAGACCCATATACAGAATTGTTGAATGGGCGGGCGTCTATCTCACATTGGGTCATTAAAGCCGACTTTGCAGAAAACAAACGCTTACAGTAGTCAAATTCCCTAGCTACAGAAGAGCCAACAAGTTTGGGCGAACCAATTTCTGTGGACATCTTTTTGTTGGGATTTTGGTGCAACAAAGCCTGGAGATGTCTTTCTTTCAACGCAGTGCTCTTTTGACTGGGCGGTGGGATGGGGTGCGACCGCCCTTGTCAGGAGGCTCAGCAGCGCCTTTGCTGCCCTCCTGGGAGCGCCTTGGTACGTTGAAATTCCGAACGCTTGGAATTCATTCCGAAGCCTCAGGGCTTCCCATCATCTCCGAGTTACCCTCATGTTCAAACATGACGAGCTGGGAAAGCTAAATCCTAGATAGACAAGTTTAAATAAGTTCAAAGTCCAGATTGAAAGGTCACATGAGTTTCCCGAGCATGAAGAAGAGCTTGAATTAATTTGGACGGACGCGTGTATTGCAACAAAGCCATCAAACACTCAGCAAAACCTTATTTGTAAGCTGATATATGATATATAACACTTTATATAATATATATAGAGAGACGTAGAGAGATACGTATGATCAATCTACTTGTGGAACGCGGTTGGTCGAAACTAGTTATCATCGGTCGAACCGTTTTGGGTCAGAAATGGATGGGAAGACAAAGAAAGGGCCCAACCAAAAGCAGTGTGGAAACAATTGCACTGCACAGTGTAGTGTTGAAGGCACCCAAGGGCCATTCAAAGTACAATGAATGGCACGCATTGGAGTCATAGGAGCAAGGCTGTATCGTTTCCAGGTTCCTACCAAAGAAATCAATACCAATGGCTCTATGATGTGCACAATAATCATCAATCAACTGACTCCAACAGACGTGTCTCTACGCTTAGGATGAACGCTGCTGGCAGACGCTATCCTTGCCCAAGAGTCCTGCCATGACCCAACGGCTGCTGAAGCTGCTTCTTGGGCGAGCAAAGCTGCATCACCGGGAATGTCGGTCAAGTCATAAGAACCTTCAAGAGTCCCTCCTGAGTTTCCTTTCCTTGTCATCATGTCATCATATTATTGAATGATTGTATAATGATCAAATCTTGGGACTCCATTTGTCCATTTGCTTCTGGCCATCCGGGTTGGGGCCTTTCCCCAACGCAAAGCCTTACGTTGGGCCTTTGAGGTGGTGCAAACTTCGTTCCAGGTCCAGGTGATGAATTCCCATCGGGCTGTTGAGGTGATAAATCCACATCTCTCCACCGTGCTGATTTGGGTGGTTGGTGGCCACATCCAATGGCCAGGACAGCCTGATGTCTGACCCCCCACAGCGGAACCGCGCCGCCCCAACGCGGCGTCCATCGCCTTCGAACTCGTAGCGTTCGGACGCGATGCTCGGTGGCCGCAAGCAGGCAGGTTGGAGGCCATCGCAAGTGAGCGACGAAGCTACGAACGTAGTAGCGTTCGACGGTGTCCCAACCCTAGGTCCATCGCTTTCTGGAACTGTACCTCTTTGGTACGTGAGAAGGGTTGAGGAAAGAACTCGTTGGAACTCAGAAAGGACTGAAACAGCGAACATGAGAGACTTGCTAGTCTTGGTGGGGCAAGTTCTCCCAGTGTGAGTGTGAAGGGTTTCTGGCGAAAATCTGGGCGCCGGCCAGCCGAGCCCGTGCCCTAGCCGGAGCCCTTCGGTGGTTACCGAAGGTAACTAACGGGCGCGCCCCTTGCCGTCGACCGACCACCGCCTGACCGACTGCCGAACTACCTCCCAGTCACCCTGGCAACATAGGCCAACAACCCTGGCAACAGAGCTGCACGTACGGATAGTCTGGGCCAACATGTGGCAACAACGGTGATAGTGATGGATGTGAGGTCGTTTTCCAAGGCCCGTGGTGCGAGATATGCTGCCCGAGTTGCCTTGCATTATTAGCACTTTGTGCCTTTGCTGGCTCCATGGATCTTTTTCTTCTACCGGAGGAGAAAGAGCACGGACTGAACATGTCCGAAAACTATGTCTTGTACGGTGTTTGCGGGGGTGCGGAGAGAAGTGTCTGGAGTGGACATACAGTGAGTCGGTGGGCAGGCACCCCCGCCCCCGCAGTACTTGGCCCATAGCAGGTACCCTCTTGGCCGGCGCCCGGCTGTCAGGCGTAAGCCTTTAAATACCGCAATCCTGTTGGGAGGTTCTAGATCTGCCAGATCTATGGCGCCATTTATCATAGCCATGATAGAGTAGACAACCGGTCATGTTTTAGGATTGCTTCCTGCTCTCCAGGCTGGCTGTAAATGATCACTAGCACTTCCAGCCTGATGTGGCGCAGAAAGCTCATTCGGTCCAGCTACAAATCTTGGATGAGCTTTATCTATATAATGAGTCTAATGAGATTCACGCATAAATTTTCTAAGGGTAACCCCTGCTCAACATAGCATGTTCTGAACATGAAGGTCCAAAGTCAGCAATCAAGTTCTTCCATGCACTTGTTAAAGTCATGTTCAAGCCATGTGAATGTGTGAAACATTCAGGATTATGAAGCAAGTACCTGCTACCAGGCAAAGGTGGAAGTGGAATACGATCCTTTGAAGCATCGCGGCCTGTTCAACTTCTTTGAGAACATGTTCAAGTATTGTTTTCACACACCGAGGATGCTAGTGGAGGAGCAGGCATCGGAGCATCGGAGCACCTTCGGATGGTTTTGCTGCTCGAGTGGGTGTTGCCAGTGTTCCTAAGGAAACGAACGAAGACACAACTCGGTGTGGCCATATTTTCCTCTACCCTGTGCTATGGGTGCTGTATGGTACATTTTTGCCCTCCTTCCTAATGTTTATATATTGTATTGTAGATATATAAAGTCCCTTGGCCTTTCAACAGCAGACATCGCGTTAATGATCATCGTCATCGTCATGTTCATTGGGTCTGAACGCAGGTGGGATCTATAGTGAGAGTACTTAGACGAGTCACTGACATGTATTTCTATTGGCTATAGGTTTACTCCTTCTGCCCGTGTACATATCGGTCCATAGTTAAGAGCCACACATCAATCTGTAGCTATTCTGCGTGACAGAACTGAAGTTCTACCAGGCGCATGGCAGTAGTTTCCAACAGGAGCCCTGGTGCAGTGGCAAATCTCTTCTACCACACGACTACTTGCAGGTCAACTTGAAGCTAGGAGGCCATCGCTATTAGGTTGCAGGCCATTGCTACTAGGTTGGAGGTCACCGCTAGTAGGTTGGAGCCCATCGCTATTTTTTGGAGGCCATCGCTAGTAGGTTGACAGTCTTTGATCTCCAGCCGTATATGTTTGTTGGAAGGGGTCCGGTGCCGAATTGGCCAGGAGTTGTGGGCCTGGCCCCTGTGTCAAGTACAGCAGGTTGACTTAGACACTCGGAAATGGCAGGAATTGTTTGGATGGTTGGCTCTTCCAGCATGTTTTGGACCCAACGTGCAACAATTCTATCATCTATCCAACAAATTTGGAGATGGAACATCCGATGGATACTCGGACTTCGCAACCAAACTACCCCCAAAACAGATCCGTGCGAGAACCAATCCGGTCTCCTACAGTGGTTTGAGAGTAGATGGCACAAACCCCAAGTTACTTTTTAGATGGGGGTGATCTATGTATAAACATCCTTTTTAGGATTGTGCCATCTTCTCTCAATCCACCAAATAGTTCATGGAGATCCCAGGCGAACCAGTCTCCATGAATCTTCGATTCTGTATATTTTTTGTTGAGGGACTTGGCCAGTCAGCAGAGGCTGACAGCCGAAGAACATGCGCTGTCAGCAGTATGAAGATGAACATGCCCATGTTCTTCAGGAAGAAGGTGAAGCTCGGAGCCCAGTGAACAGCTGTTGGAGCTCGCAGATGCCATGGCCATGCCTCCGGTCCCCTGTTGGACTTGTCGCTTGACGTCACGTCTTGGACCGGTGTACCATGCTTCGGTGGACCAAGCCAGGTAGAGGACTGAAGCTGTTTGGAGCTCCGGTAGAAGAGGTGCCTATAGAGGTGCCTATCACTTTTTCATACTTTTTCTGTCCAGGAATCATTCTACTTGGGCCCTAACTGACAGGACAAGTGACACCCCAAAGTCTGGTTTGATATCACCCAGACACTCCATGCAAACTGGTATCGGAAAACCATTGGTTGCCTACATCAGGGTGGTTCAGGCATCAACCAGGCGGCATACATTCCATTGAGCTTAACCGCTGTGTGTGTTCTACAACGGTGGCTTGATGGCACCGCAGAAGTGAATCGGAGCTTATTAACCGGATGATGCAGCAGTTGTTTGCAGCAGTTGTTTTTGAGTGAGCCTTCAGGGGCTGCTTCCACAGCTTTTCCAAAGTTGGTTTCATATTTAACTACTTCAGGGCAGGCACTTTGTCAAAAAAGCGTCGAACGATGTCGAACGTGAAAACAGATGTCAAACATCGGCGTGCCCAGGATTTTACTGACGCAAAGCACAGTACGCTGGAACAGCTCCGCACCTTGCTGATGAAAAAGCTTGATGTGGAGGAGGGCGTTGTTCTGCAGAGAGGCTTGCCATGTCCAGTACATGTTAAACTTGGACTTGCCAAGTTGGAATTCTTGCGGCTCGGAACAAGCGACCTTCCCAGCAAGCCGCAAACCCCAGCGGAGCCAACCTCACACATTCGAGTTCAGTCAACCTCCACTCAGCTAGCTCTGCATTTTTGTTTCGACCCTCAGAAAGCGTCCCCGAACAGGGCCTCATGGGTGGAAGGTGAAGCTTCTAGACATGTCTAGACACAAAGTGAATAATAATAAGATATAATAAGCATGATTAGGAACCATGCATTTGCACATGATCATGAACCCCAACTTCTCTTGTCCACGCAATGTTTGCAACATGAAGGTTCTCCGCCCGCAGGACAACCTGCAGCGGCTGATCCTACGGAACATCCCCATTTCCGCCAAGCCCAGTGAGGCGTCGTGCTGTTGGGTCGGATGTAGGTACAGCAGCCATCAGCAGCCGCTTTTCTGAGACATACGATGAGATCATCACTTTCTTCTTCACTTCGTGCGGTAAGGCAACTGGGGCCCAATTATAACTGTTTCTTTGTGTTTTGTGATTTTCTGGTGTGTTCGGTGAAGAACCTATGGTTGATGGAGTCAGTGCAGCCTTCAGCAGCATTTTCTAGGAATAGGTCCACCAGTGTCTCCCAATGAATGCAGGGGAACATCAGGATAGACTCAAAACAAATTCGCAGACCTCTCCATCCACCAGTGACCCCTACTTCTTCGCCAGTGACCCCTGCTCAGGCCAGCTACTCACCGTGGGACCAGAATTTGATCCGTTCCTGGGCGAATGAGCGATGATGACACCAGCAGCCTTCCCAGGCGGCTTCAAATTGGCAAAAAAAGGATAAGGACCCCTTCAAGTATCTCATGAATCCATATATGAATCCCATCCAAGCACCATCCTGACGTCATTTGAGCAGCGTTCAAAACCTGAATGCAAGAACCACATGATCCGATTAAACTGCAAGACTGTCGCGTAAGCTAAAGTCTGCACGGCGTAAGGGTTGCGTAAGGTTCGGTGGAAGCCAAGCTTGGGAACTCGATGCGTAAGAGGTGCGTAAGCAATTTTGAGTTTTTGCTGAGAAACACTGCAAGCAGAAGAGGGTTGTGGACTCAATCTCTCAAAGGCCCTGTTTGCAGGGGTCGAGTGGCCCAAGACCACACGAATTCCGCGTAAGCCCCGCGTAAGCCGATTCGTAAGGTTTGCGTAGGCGAACTTCTCAGATGAAGCCCTCTGCTCACGTCCACCAAAGGTTTTTCTAAAGCAAAGCAAGCAGCTGAGCACTTTTCAAGCACAAACCGCACTGTGACCCTCGCTCCAACTGCTTGGTCCCCATGGCTGACAAAAAGAAGCAGCGGGCTCCACCAAGTGAATCATACAAGCAAAGTGTAAATTACTTTACTTCGAGTGATCCCCGGGAGTGCCCACTGCGATCTGGGGCTTGCGGTTGAGGTCCGGGAGTGCCCACCGCTATTTGGCGCATGCTGTTGGAGTCCGGGATTCCCCACTGTGATCTGGCGCTTGCTCTAGTGAAGCGGGGCAGAGGAGAAGGAGAGGGATCATCTTCTAAAATCTACTGTAACCACCCTCACATGACAGGTTGGGAACAAAGAGTGTTCACCGCTCTGGTGCCAAAACGCCGGTAACAAAACCGCCGCGTAAGAAACGCGTAAGCCCTAAGAGAAAGAACATCACCGCGTAAGCGAAAACATTGGTAGCGTAAGCATTGCGGAAGCCGACGCGTAAGCAGAGAAGGATTATATGGCCAAGACTAAAGGGTTTCGACCACCGCTCATTTGTGCATCAAGTATCCTGTGTGAAGAGTATCCTTTGCAATTGGAACCCCCGGGGATGGTATAAACGTCTTTTGATCATCTTTTGTTCAGCCTTTGTTTCCACGGTTTCCATGGGACGGCGGCAAAGAAACGTGTGTCTTGGTGGCAGGAGTCGCACGACGACGAACGGACTGAAATGCAGACGAACAGCGCAGACGAAGGGAGTTTTGGGGGATGGGCATGGGCATGGCCCCAAATCCTTGAGTCCTGTATGTGAGGTGTGATTTGTGCAGAGTTGTGCATATCTTCTTGGAGAAGTGTGTCTTTTGGATATCTTGTCAACCAAAAGAATCACTGGCTCGCAAGAAACAACATGTCCAATATATATATATATATAGCATATGGCAGATGAGTATCCACACAAAAGGATACTGTAATTATACATTCCTGAACAACATGTGGGAGATAATCTGAGAGAGTCAAACGCCTGGCTGCACCTAGAGTGTGGTGTTGAAACTTTCAATCTCCTGACAATTGTCCGCTGATTGCAAGCAAACCTCAAACCGATAAACATAAATACACTGAGCATGTCCAAGAAATGTATTTTCTATACCGAACAGTAGTATGTACTTTATTTGACCCCATTGTCTTCTCCACTCTAAGCCAGCAAGAACATTGGCAGTCCACTCGTGTATTTTCGCGTCAGGGAAGTCCCAAACCAAACCAGATGGTGCATAAATGGACAGGAACCCCTTTTCACCACTGGATCTCCCTCTTCCACAGGCTCGGACCCACCTAAGAAAGACTGCCAGCCATGTGGGCGCGCTTCGCTCCAATGAAACCGAGGCTTAGTGAACCCCGTCCATCCGCGCCTCGTCTGAAGACCACGGACCCGGGGGGGGCGCGTCGAAGGGTGTTTTTTCGCGGACGAAGACGGGGTAATCAGTGGAAAGAGGCGGGAAACACCTTGGGTTTGGAGACGCAGAACATGAGAGAACACGAGGCGTGCGGGTACGAACGGACATGACCGAACTCTTTTTCAAGTCGCCGTCCGAACTCACGTAGCATTGTATCTAGATCTCTAAAACACGTGGCTTTTGTTGCTTTCTTTGGAACCTCAACATCGAAAGACGGCACAGGTGTCCGGAAATGTTGTTTTTGTTGTTTGAAGAGTGTCAATATTGGTGACTGTTGAGAGTTGTTTTTGCTGTTTTTGTTTCTGTTCTTCTTTTGTTCAATACCCGACTCTAGGAGTCCGTATATAAACAGTGCTAACAGTTGCCACACCTTTCGGCGCGCCTTGTGCTCGCAGTGCCCGTTCTATAAGGAAATATCCTGCGGGCTTTTGCAGTAGCTTTCTGGTCACTGACGAGTGGCTTGGAGCAAGTTGCGAGCTGTTCCCAAAAGAAAACACACACTTGAATGTAGAAGTCGTATTTGTGGCAACGATCCATATTCTAGCGGCTCGAGGATGGTTATAAATAGTCGCGGGCCAACAGTGCAGCATTTTCAACCATAGATGCCATAGAGTCTGCCACTTGAGTACAGGAGAGGGTGAGTGTGAGTTTTGTCCCACACTTGCCAGATGAAAGACATGACAGACCATTTGCTCAACAGCATGGACTCTTCATGTAGTTTCTAGGTTGCCTTAGGTTTTATGGCAGGTCAGGCCAGTTGCTTTTAGGGACACACTGAAAAAGTTCACAAGAACACTTGATTTGAGGCCACCCAAGCATTCCCAAAACCAAAGCCGAAAACTTGCCCAACAAGTTTCAAATGCCAGGATGCAAAGATGCTTAAAAGCAAGAGCTGTACAGGAACCTGTGGACTGCCACGGGCTTGGAACCCTCGTTCTGCACCTCCCAGGTTGGGCGCGCTGCGCCAACGCTTCCGCGGCTTTCGCTTTTTCTTGCGCCCTGTACGGCGGGATGGCGAAGTGCAGCGCGCATTGGAGGCGGGAGGGAAGTGGAGGGATGAGAACTTCTGAAGACCCAAACAGAGGCCCTACGCAGGAAAACCTTTACGCAAACTTGTTTGGGTTTCCGTACTAAAAACGAACGGAACATGATACACAGAGCTCTGCGCTGACGCTGCGTGTGGCTCCAGCACCATTCGTGGAAGGTCGGAGGATACATGCTTCACTGCCTCACCAGGCACAATCTGTGCAGAACTGATCGGGCCTCCAGTCCTCGAGGGTGGAAGATCCCCACATGTTTGTTGGAGTTGATGCCCTCACTGCTGAGACGTGGTCGGATTTGCATTTCCATTCACTTCCCACCCAAACTCCGAATCTCATCCATTGTTTGGACTCCAGCGAATGTCCACGTGGACGTAGCTCTCAGACTTACACTCCCGAAAACTAACATAGACCCTGACAATGGTCCCAATGGAAGACGCTTTTTCTCTACCAACCAGGGATTTTCAGGTTCCATGTTAGTCTTCCAGGGTGTAGACAAATCAACTGAACCATGCGAAACGGACAAAGGGACGCGCGGAAGCAACTCGATGAACCACAGGACGACCTGCACCACTTCACAACGGGACGACCCGACTTCTGCCGTTCCGGGCCGTTTGGGCAAAGACTTGGACCAGTGTGGTTCCGTGCCAAACTCCGAAGTGCTGGTGTTTCGCTCAGCTCCAAGCTGAGCTGGCCTTGTTGAGACGTGACTTCGTTGAAGTACCAGGACCAGCGTCCCTGCCTAAAGGCATCCAAACACCGGTTTGGTCCCGCCATTGAAAACGATGTTAGTTTATTTTGCAATGTTGGTGGCGGGCCTATATAAGCAAATGATATAGGAACCATCATCCATTTGTTTCCGTCCAGCGGTCCTTACCGAAGGCCAAGCTCTGACCCAAGTGACTTTGATCTCCCACTATGCTTCACGTGTGCACGCGGAAAGAAGGTTCCAGTTCCGCAATGACCCGATGCTGCGACCAACCCAAATCGGCTCGAAACAGGGGCCAGCTGACACATGCTGACGCCAACTTGCTGGTTTCACCCCAGTTTTCCACCATACACTTGCGCCGAAGACCTTACACTCTGCGCACACCAAAACCCATGCTCCGACAGGCTCCGACATGTTTTTCTTCCACCCCGTTGTTAGCATTTCCGCGAGGTGACGGCCTTGAGGGGCTTGGCGGGGACACCTTGGACACAGAGAAGCACCGCGAGACACCCCTCCGACCTGGACCGCCGGGAGGGACTCCGACCCGGCGCCGTGAGCCGCGGCGGCGGTGGCGATCGAGTCTTCGTTGAAAGCAAGGGCTCCGGTGGTCCAGAGGTGACATGGTTTGGTGAAGGGAAGCACATACCTGGACCCCTGTGTTGTTACTGTGAGTAGTAGTCCATGTCAGTGAACACTGTGGGGTGTCCTTATGAAATGAACTGGTGGAATGCTTGCATCCTGGATGGCTCCTGCCAGCCACGGTGAACACGTCCACACAGCCTGGCTTGATGGCAGATGTCGTGTGGCTCGTGGGCCGAAGGTATGCTATGTTATGTAAGTTATTTTAGTATTATTATAATAGTTATATATATATATAATACGGTTACGCTATTAAAATGTGTGGAGGGCGGCCCAGGGTTAATCCTCCCGGAGGCAGTGTATAATTCCTATTATGTCAGTAGTATAGTTATAGTTATGATACTACTATTTGTATTTATTTCAAGACACCCAAACAACACACAACACAAATAAAAACTTGTTGGCTGGCATGGGTGAAAAAAGACAGCGACGAAAGGTGTCTTCTTGAAACAGCCGGAACTGCTACAGACGGCCATGGCTGTGGGTCATGGCGGCCATGGCGCCCCTTTCACCAGGGTAGGTTGACCAGTAGTTCTGCTCATTTTTCTGTGGTCAACCAAGGTACCCCTGTTACAAGCTCTAGACCCGAAAGATAAACGTCTTAGTAAGACCAACTCGGGAAACCAACCGGGGAGCGCACGGACAGTGTTCTGGACCCGGGTGAGCCAGCCGTTTGGGGTTATGCTTGGGTCCAGGTGGTCAAAGAAAGCATGTGTTTGTTCGGATGGTACAGAGGTTTCGGTGGTTTCAGAGATGGCACAGTTCCCTCAAGATGGCCTGTCTTTACGTGGGGTTGATCTGGATCTGAACCAGCTCTTGGGGTCTGTGCCATCGACTCTCAATCCTAAGAGGATGGGATCAGCAAATCAAATCAAGACTATTTGATCCACAATCATGACAAACTCATGCCCTGCCTTAGTCTTACACCTGTGACATTCTCTGGTAAGATTCCTCCTGTACCAGACTCCAGTATTCCAGGTGCTTCCTGTAGAAATCTGTAGAACAAGGCAGGGCTTCTATCAGTATTTTTGATCTCTCAAAATTTCTATTGTGTGGTTTTCCGCAGCTAGCGGGTTGAGGGTGACCCTCAGTTCGGGTCTTGGTGAACCTGGGGACCACGTGGCTGACCGACTCTTCGTGCCCGCAGGAGATCGGAGCCAAGGCTGACGAGCTGGTGGCTGCTCGGCAGAGCGAGCTTCCAACGGGTGTTTGGTCGTGTTCCATGCTTGGAACGTGTTGCATAGGGGGTATAGTACGCTGGACAGGGATGTTCTCACAATTCAAGAAACTTCATAGTTGCGTGTTTACTGTGTTTGCATTTTGTTGCAAGCTTTGCCCTCTTTTTGGACAGGCTGTTGAGTTGTTCTTGTCTCGCTGAAACTCAAGGGCTACGGCACTGTTGGTTTACATGGCAAACTTATGCCACACCATCACTGTACAATTAAGTAAGATTGTTTCAACTTGGAAGTGCAAACAAAAAAGAAGATACCATGCGATGCCAAGTGATTTCTGTCCTCCTTTGACAGATCGGTTTCAGCAGTGAATCACATCGCATATATCGTAATTATCGTATAGCTGGTGTTTTTGTAGAAGCACCTTTGCGCTCCTTGAGGTACTCCAAATTGCTAAGATTGCTGTATCAAGGATCTTCACATAAACGCAAGGATATGAATCGTGTATTTGAACACCTCGAGGATTTAGTGGTGGTGCTTGCAGTCACCTCCACAAGTATACCTCCGATGTTTTTGCTTATCATTGATTCAAAGGTTCAATTCACAAATGCACACACATACAATCACGTGCGCACCCAAATAAAGACTTCAAGCCTGGCAGTCTATGTGTACTTTCCACCGCAGCCTGACGTTTCGTGTCTCCCAGCCCTAGCCGCTAAGCCTTCTTTTCGCACCTGCTGTTTCCTTTGTGTTTTTTTCCCAACAAAAGACAGCACCGCAGGTTGCCCACCGTCCGCCCTCCGTTGTGCAGGAGTTTGAACTTGGCGAGCTCAAGGACCTGCCTCCCTGCCATAGCGTCGTCACCGCGTCTCGGCAGACGCCTGAAGACCTGGGACACTTGGGACGGAGACCGGGACACAGCTGGCGACGGTAGACCTGAGAGGTCGTCACGGTTGGGGTGAAAGAGATAATCACTCGGAGAGCGCCGTAGCACTGACCTCGCGTGGTTTTGGAGTGGTGAGTGACCAGCATATGGCTCCCAAAGTGGCGCATGTATCCATGAATCAGTCTCCGCCATTCTGCAAGATCGAGGATCCACCTGTGTTATGAGACGATTATGAACACGGGGGATGATCGGTGCAGTCGGCTTGTCACAATTGCTAAGTGTAGATCCACAGGGTGAGATGATGTAATAACAGGTTTTCCAGCAATAATGCAATGAAGTCCGTTCAAGCTTTCCTTGATCTTGGAGAAAACTGAAGAAGTGCCATATTGTTGATACTTTGCAAATCGAAAAGCATCTCACATATCGCCATGTTCCATGACCGACCTCGCAGTGCATGAGAGCTATTTTTGATTTCCCGAGGATCGCTTCGAAGATTGGAAGGAACGAATGGCCACGAGCTACAAACGCATGTTGGCCTTGATCTGAAGGCTTGCAGTCAATGCTGGCAAATGTAAGGGACATTTGTGGCTGGTGACTGGTCTTTGTTCTGATCAAATACCAGGCATTTGTCCATGGTAACTGAAGTGGAGGATAGTGGAGGTGTCTATTCTGGGAAGCATCATTTCGATAGTTGTTCTTTAGTGGTTGCTTAGAGCTGCTTAAAACGTCCTGAGGAGCTAAAAACAACAGATTTATGATGTATGTCATTGTAGCGTCCACCGCGTGGAACTGGGAGAAGTACTTGACATTATTGGCATCCATTGGTCACAAACTAACTAACTGACGGATGCCACAGGACTGGCCTCATGACTGCAGTTGCAAGAGTTGGTGTGAACCAGTAGAGTTGCAGAGCAAAAATATGTTTTTCACGTCCTTTCCCTCTTCAAAATCATATCGTGGTCCCAAACTTCAACGAGTGGCTTGATTTCTTACTATCTCACCCGCCTGTTTCTGGAATGTTTTGCAACATCGGAGCTGCGATTCATCGGTACATCTTTCACTCCGCTGCTCCGCAGACGCGCAGGCGTCCCTTCCGCCCACCCCGCCCGCTGCGCGCGGTGCAAAAAGGAAGGACGTGGTGTCTGTGGGCGCCACCATGTTACTAATAGCGATGCCCTTGCAACAAGGATGCTACTAGTAACAAGTGCATCGCTACTAGTAACAAGTGCCTTACTAGTAGTAACAAGAAGCTATTAGTAACAAGAAGCTATTAGTAAGGCCAGGAGCCCCTAGTAGCGTCCTTGCTCCTAGTAGCGATGCCCTTGTTACTAGTAGCTTCTTGTTACTAATAGCGATGCTCTTGCTACTAGTAATGCCCTTGTTACCCGACTCCGGTGCGCGCCACTGGTGGCAACCTCGGCACCCGGAGCCTGGATCTCTTGGAATTCTTATCTCATGCACGGACTACAAGCAAACCGTCAGGAAACCTGTTTTCGTTGGCCAAAATAGATCCGAAGATGGCTTGTCATCCATTTGTCTCTTCCGTCTGTGTGACCCACACCAGGTTGGAAAAGCGTTGCTTCAGCCACGACCATGCAAGTATTCATCCATCACCTTCAGGTGATTCAGGTTCCTCAGATTTGGACTCCAGATCGTTTTCAGGTGATTCATCCATCCACACTGTTCCAGAACCTCATAATCTCAGAAACAGGACCAGATAGGATTTGCAAATGATCCTCCTTGGATCTTGGTAGACTTGACACACCAATCACACAACATCACACAACTCTTGGACCCATAGGGTCCAACTACCCCCTTTTCAGATGGTCCAACGGAGCCAGCGTACTTCCTTTTGGAGGACATCCTCAGGATGGTTGGACCCTTTGGGAGGAATCTGGAGGGAACAAACTTCGGTTATAGTGTGGGTGTCCGACTGATATCCTCAGAGGTTAATGGTGGACACCATTTGTTTTTTGTGCAGCACACCCAACCTGATGGAAAGCGCGTCGAACCGTGTTTTGCTTCGACATACATCGAAGTTGATTTCGTTGCATCCACCCTTGGAAAATCGTAAACATATTTCTGTGTCAAGAATGTGCACGGGTTGAGGGTGTGGAGGGTGGTCGTTCTCGCGAGGGGAGGAAAAAGTGTTTGCTAAGCAAACTTTGCTACTTGTAGTTCCTTTTCCAACAGAATTCCGTGATGTCCGGCTATTGCAAAACTGGGGTGTGATTTCTGGTGTCACACAGGAAGCAGACCACCCAAGTTCAATCCATCTTGGTGATCGTTCAGAGCTTGATATCGGATGATCAAGGCCGGACCCATGGGATGTGGCAGCAGCCAGTTGTGCCAGGGTTCCTGAGAGACTGCCGCGAAGCGGACGCGAAGCGCTTAGTGGGTTGAAGATGATTCTGTGACACAGTTGGTTTAATGTCACAGTCCAGGGTCCAGGACCATCCGTTTCTCGGACTGTCATTGTTCTTCGCACCATTTCGACATATTTCGACCATTCGAAACGGAAGTATAATTACATATAATTACTTTGGGCTCCTTTCGATCATCCAAGTACTGGGGGGGACTTTGACCGGGAGTGGGTGAGCTTCCCAGGGTTGAGTTGAACTTCATGTTTGCTTGGATGGGGCTGTGAACAAGGGGGTCTCCATGAGTTGTTGATAGTTTTTGGTTTCATTTACATCAAAACTCAATCCATGAGGCAGCTAGCATATTTACTGTACATTGGGATAGTCTTAAGATGTTTTAAGGGTCAATGTAGCATCATGTTTTCGTATATGTATCCTTGAGGATGGGTAAATCCAAATGCCACTGACTTTTAACTAGTCTCACTCGCACATACTCAACCCCAGTCTTAGTGTTGCACACATTGAAGCCTACTTGGGTGTGTATATGTGTTTAATGAAATAGGGAGACCTCCCAGTTTGACCCGCTGGAAGAAGGAAAATAGAACAGTCTACCCATTTGTCCGGGGTTTACCAAGCAAAATACAACCCACTTGTTTGATACCATGGGTAGCCTTTCCTGGCCAGCTGTTCGGAGTGTTTACCATTTGTGCTTGGCAGCAGGCCAGAGTCGGGTGCTGGACACGAGACCGCAACCCCAAAAAGGTAGACACATGATCACGGAGGTCCCGACGCACATGAAAGTGGGCAGTTCTCGGGTATGTAAAGCAGAAGAGTCTTCCCAAGAACCATGCCAGTCATCAATTTTCACCACTGATGTTTTCGTCCAAGTGCAAGATCCACCGATCACGAAGTGGATCCACGCTACAATAGTGGCCATGCAAAACGAGGTGTTGAGCAGGTTGATAGTTGGGAACCATTGTATGTTGATATAGATCAATATTATAGATAATCTAATTCAGCTTGCTTCTATAATTATTAAGTAGATATGATATGATCCAATTGTTCAGCCTTTATTTCCAGTTTCTGTTTGACATGTGTGGTGAGCTGCGTAGGATCCAAACCTATGTTCTTTTACCAAAAAGCACATGCACCGTCCTCTTATGCGGTTCTCCCATGGTCGCCCCGGGGAACCCCCACGAGGTCACAAGCTGGCCGAGACCTACCATGTTCCGGCCTTGCTGGCCGACGAGTTGATCCCGGACCGGACGCCTTTCGTGCCGAAGCGCCGCGTTGCGGACCGAAGCGCCGCCGCCTCCAACGAGCTGCCTGAGGGGTTCTGAATTCCGCGTCTCCCTCGGGTCGAACGAGGGGGAGTAAGATGCACATGAGAGGGTCCAAGGCTGTACCTTGGGTGGTGGTCATGGTTTCTGTACGTTTCAGCCCGCCAGGTGCGGTATTAGAGCTGTCCCTAGTAGTATCAGGTTTCACAGTCTTTGCGCCACAACATTTGCTTATGGCGGTGATGAAGATAGAGATAAGCTCAGTGGAAAGGTGGTCTACAAATGTTTCTTCTTGCAGTTGAGGCCGTCGAGGCCGTATGCCTTAGAGAGTGGTTGACAGTGAAGCAAGCAATGAAACGGGGTTTCTGGTGGATCGACTGAGATTCATATTCATGGGCAGTAGGGCAGTATTGGATAGTACTGGCAAGAATTTCCAAGAGGCACCACTTACAGACAAATATATATATAGTATATTTAGATATATTAATTATATACAATATAATATATTTATTTATTTATAGTGTATATAATATATATATATGTCAACTAGGGCAGAAGAATAACTTACAGCAATACAAACACAAACACATTGACATAGACGCATGTAAAGTATTCCAACTCATTCTCTGGACCGTCACAGCAATCTTCAGGCCTTCAGAACGGAAGGAAGACCCAGGTTGAAGCCAGTGTTGTTTTTGGTTCGAGCCAATCATGTGATCCAAACCTCGCGATTTTACAATGACCAATGCTTTTGCCCTGGTGTAGATTCAATCTTTGATTGCAGTTTTGGAGTTTGTTCAACAGCTTTGTGTTTTTAGTTGCTCGATGTGACGATGTGTTTGTTCCTGTGGTGTTTAGTTGTTTGATGTTCTATTTTGTTTATTGCGTATTAGTTTACGGAATTATGGACTTTCAGCAGAGATTTCCTTTGGATGAGATCAGTGTGGGTGGTGCAGGAGACTTTGCAATCAACTACTAGCTGACAAAATTGCTGGATCCATCTCGATTTCAGACATGACCTGGACCATGGAAACTTAGAAGAGCTGAGTGTTCCCACACCAGATTCGACATTGGATTGCTTGAAGCTTCCGGGGGACCAATGAAGTCACTGAGGTCCAAACTGAGGCTTCAGTTGCAAAAAGAGTCAATGTCGCAGATGTCAGATGTCATGTTTGTTTCGTTGTAACCATGGGGAGGACTTTGCCAGTCGCGACACACCCTTGGGCCAACAACTCAAGGAGCAGTCTCGCCCTGAGAATCACATAGAATCACGGTATGGGGACGCTGGAAGTAGGCCAGAGCACCAAAGAAACCAAACGGAGAGGTGGGAGGCGATCTTAAGCTACACGAGTTTGAGATTGATGATGCCAAAAGAGATTATTCCAACAAAACAAGCATCGGCAATGATTACATAGAAATGAGTTCCGTCCTTCCGCATGTTGTGCAACCATTTAGGAACACGCGTGTAGAGGTGCCTTGCAGTCTTCGCTCTCTTGACAGAACTTGAAGCGGCAGCAAAGAAACTTCTGAGACGCCATGCGGTATTTGTCATTGTGTCCTCCGTGTAATCTGGCGTAACGTCCGTTTGTTTTCCTGGTGCAAGTTGGGTCGCAATCATATACCAATTGCTCCAAGCGGCCACTCAGTAACTAATTGTTTCGCACGAAATGGTCCTTCCAGCAGTGAGTTTCCTCAAGGATCCCATGGTGAGGATGTCAGAGATCTATATAATACTATATAACATGATCTAACCCTCCCCCAAACTTGCAAGTGCAATGGCCACTTGCGGGTGCTTCTCTTGGTCACGGAACCGAGGCAAGAGCTGATTGCCGCCAATGCAGCAAATCCCAAATCCCAGGTCGGCAACGGAGCTGTTACGGTCAGAATTCTGAGTCATTTATATACCATTTCAAAGAAGGGTGCGATGTTTCAGGTGCTCAAATTGCAATATGCCCTCCCAAACTATGCACAGACCTTCAAGATGGAATCCTGAAAAGGAGACCACCTCCAGTAGACTAGTTGACTAGTTCCAAAACAAGTGGTACTTTTCATCTCCTCCAGTAGATAGTACAAGTTCAGCCAGGTATTTTGGGGTATTTCAATTGGTCCATGACCACCTCCTTTGGATGTCCGAGACCGACCCCATGCTGACCGAGTGTGAGAAAGAAGGTACTGACCACCTCCAAAACTATTCGAAAAGGAGATACCAGGACCCTATGGGGATACTCAGATTATGGTTTCAAGTTGTACACGATGCACGGTGCATAGGTCAAGATGATGCTGAGCATCCGTTCTAGATCCGGTCAAGATGCTCCTTGCGGTCGTTGGCTACTAAGCATCTCATGCAAACAGACCCTCCAGTGGTTGGCAATCTACTTGTGTGAAGTCCAGTTCGGCCACCAGTGTTTTCAGGGGAAATGATCCAGCCAAAATCGGAAAGCACTGTGATGAAGAAATTGAACAGAATTAGAAAGCACTGTTAAGAAATTGAACTGTTTTCAGGGAAAATGATGGGATTGTGTTAAGCCAAGATGAGAAGACATTGATGGGATTGTGTCACCTCCAGATGCACCACTTCTTAACTTCTATGTCATGAACTATTCTTAGTACTTTGTGATCCCCAAAATTCAATCTCCACAAACTAAAATATGTAATCACATGACAACGACTTCCATCTAACGACTTCCATCCACTTCCATCTAACGATCTCCTTTCGCGCGCGGAAAGGTGTTCCTTTCCCGGGTGAACGTCGGGCCACGTCGGGCCTTTGGTCCGTCCACCCGTCCACCCAGGGTCCCTTTGTGATCCCCTCTCACCTTGTGGCGAAAGTCATGGAGGAGGCCATGGCGGAAGCCACAGGCGCGCGGATCCATTCATGGGCCAGATGTGGTACATCTTGCGAGATGTGGCGACATTTTGTAGTGGTAGTGGACGAAGCATTCAAACGTTGGAGAGCACGTTCGCAGGGGTTGTGAGTGTGGATCATCGTTTGGTAGATCGTCAGGGTGGTTAACAGAGTGTGTATATTATATAAGCATATATAAACAATATGATCATTGTCGCATGATTGCTCAGCTGCGATAAACTGTACGTGTGTCAACTTTCAAGTGGCTTGCCTCCACTCGACTGTGGACTGAAGGAACAGCAACGACGACGGTACTGGTATCAGCAACATACGGCCGTATGCGAGTCCGGCAACATTTGTTAGGCGTGTGGTGTTTCCGAAAGCCCATTAGGGTACCAGATCGAAACAGAGTCCGCAAAATCTGAAGAACATTGGAGATGTTGGCCGGAACCCATGCGGCGTTCACTCAGTCGTTCACTTGCTCCGCCAAAAGCGTGCGGCTGGTCCTGGTGGAGTTGGGTGGAGTTGGGTCTCCCATTCAGCCTTGAAGACGGCATTTCGAAGATTATGGGTCCACGGTTGGAGACGTGCAAGGACGTGTCGCATCTCAGATGCGGTTGCATCCGTGATGGACTTGCAGAGGAGATGTATTCCATATATACATGGAGTGTTTCGGGTTCATCGAATGAAATCGAGGCAAGGAGATGCCACTCTGCTTTTTCAGACTGCCAGCCTTGAATTTGAATCCATGCTTTGCAAATACTGTCGATGTCAATGCTGAACATCACCAAAGAGGATGCCTCGAGCCTCTGATGTGGACCCTCCGCTAGTGAGCAAGGATCTCATTGACAAGAAGGGTGCTTGGGTCATTAAACGCCACAAAGTGTTTGAACCCTTGCAGCAGCAAGATTGCAAACTTGTGCTGCAAACAGCTGCAAAGTTGGTCGATGCAGATGCTGGATCCTTGCCTTGAGAGCTACTCCGCATGCATAGGATCCGCAGGATGCGGAGGATGCTCAGTAGCTCTCCATTGAATGCCACTGCCATTGCCGGAGACGCCTCCACGAAGCCCACCGACGGGCGTGCTTGGCGCGCCGACCTACCGGGTTTTTGCTCGCTGCCAGACGGCCGCTGCGACCGCGGAGAGAAAGCACATCTTGATCTCACTTCTCTTGAGTCGCACATGTTCACTTCTCTTCTAGGTCATGGTTCAACACTTACTTGGGGATGATTGGACCCTCTGACAATATTTTTCAAGTGGGCTGAAAACACCAACCAGTCTTGAGTTATTCCCTGTTGACATGCAAAGAAGATCAAAGTCGTACAAACATGCGAGTCAACTTGTTGACAAGCCACTTGAGAACATCATGGAGGGATTTTTACGCGCACACACACACAGAGTGCACAGGTAAGAGTTGTAATCGTTTTTTCCACAACAGATCATATGACCAAAGAGTGTGATCGGGCGGTGATGGCTGAAAGATTCAGCGACTGAATCTATCAGCAATCATGGAGTATCTCCAGTCGTAATGCAGTTGACTCATCACCAGTTGGTTTGCAGTTGACTGGGCAGAAGTCACTAAACCTTGGATCGACACTCAGTTTTTAGATCCTTACTGTTCCTTACCCTAGGGCTCCAAGGACCCTGTGAGAAGGTGTTTAGGGTGGGTTTAGAGGGCCCAAATACCTTCTGAGGAGGTACTTGGAGCCCTAGGGTTACTCATGAATGGGGAAATCCATGGGTTTTGCTCATACCCCTCATATATTCATGGACAACTAGAGGATCCTACCGATTGTACCGTATTCTCACCGCTCTTCTCGGATCCAAGTGTTGCCCTTTTCGTTCTTTGTTGCCCATCCATGTGTGGCTGCAAAGCAAAAAAAATAGCACAAACAAACCAGTCAATGGTGACCCAAACGAGTCAAGATGTGTCTGGAACGACACCAGTCATGTGTCTCTGATGCCCTGCTCGTGTCGCTCGTGTGGTTTTTCAAGCAGGCACACATCGTGGTTGGATCGTGGGAGGATTTCCAACGACTTTGGAGGCTGAGAGTATGGGGGGGGGCCTGGGTTCAATAGGCTTCATGGAGGCCCTGAAATAAACATGGAAGTAGACAACCTCAAGGTCTTCGTAGAGGAGAATGGTCTTTCCAAGGGCCCATGGGGCCCATGGTCCACTGAAGGGGGAACGTCGCTGGCCCATCGGTCTTTGTTCGCTTGTCTTTTGGTTTCTGCTGTTCTTTGCGGGGTCTTCATACTGTAAGACCTGCCAAGAAGAGGATCACCTTTTGTGTGAGGCACAGATGTTCACTCTGTCGTCTCTTGAAAGTAGACAAAGAAAAGGGACACACAGACCGTCTATCTCTCCATCCTGTCCTATGAGATCATAGGTCTCGAAAGGTCACTTTTACTTTGGACAGACCGACCTATAAGATCCTATAAGTCTTTCATGAACATATGACATGTATCAACACATCTTGGATCCAAAAACTGGGATGATGTTCATACCTGAGATGCTTTTTGGATTCTGAGAGCAGTTCTGGATTCGCCTCAGGAGGCCGCGGGCTTCTTCGCAGAGATGCCGCCGCCAGACCCCAACCCGCCGAAGAAGGGCAAAGAGGCCGTGGCGACCTTTGGGAGAGTGGACGATGGGTAGGATCTATAGAGGATCCCCAAAAGAGGATCAATAGGCTGACCTGATAAAGATGAATCAATGTTTCCAAGAAAGCAGATCTACCATGAAGATCCATGACTATATACTTCACGCATAATCATATTCAGAACTCATTTTTACACAGGCTTACGGCTTACGGTTTACACTCATGTTCCCTCGGGCTATCCCATTCGCTGGCAGCATGGTTGTGAAGGAACACCAGCTGGTTGCCCTGGTGCTTTATTTGAAGCAATACTCGACTAAGTGGCCCTGCGACGATCCAAGCTACGGTATGGCTGCCAAGACAAGAAACAAGCAGGGAACTCTGGCCGTGAAAGCGGTGTCTACTACTATTTGGGTTGACAGGTATGTCCAGGCAAATATGTTGCCTCGCCGTGAGTGAATCGCTTGGAACATGCAGAAGTCGACTATCACATGTCGTTTGTTCACTCCAAAAATGCCTCAAGCCGGCCCTGATTTCGCTTTGAATTCACGTCGATCGCAGAGAAAACAACAAACACATGTTAAACACGTTTTGGTTTGTAACTTGTTTCGTTTTCCGCCGCACGGGCGGATTCCACACCTGGTTCGAGGCTGAAGCCATCAACCTTGATGACTTGAAGCTCAAGGAGCCACGGGGATCTCTTAACCGATGAGGCCTCCCTAGATCTCCCGCTGACATCGCCATCGTGTTGTTTCTTGTGTGTTGTCTTTTGGACCCTTGGCACCCTTGGCTTATAGGATATGACATGTATTCATTGTTGGAGTGATAAAGACCCAAATGCACAGAGTGAACCTCCTAGCTCGCCCGGCAAAGGTCCCTTGCTTTGTATTCTGTTCGCAACCGACGTTGTTTGGCTGTGCCTATGCTGTATAGGGTCAACACCCAAGGGTTAGGACCCACGTCGGGTCGTTCGCACGAAAGGTGACACCGGTGGTGAGATTCTGCACATGCAGTGGGTCCGAATCATTCAGACAAAGAAGGTCCGAAGAGTCGTTCTATCCGGTTAAACACCCTATAGTCGCGACGTCAATTACCATCATGACACCTCATGATTTCACCTGGTTGCCCTTTCTTTGTATGCTGATTTGGATGATTGTGAAGGTTGTCGCAGTCGTTATGGTTTGAAGGTTGGAGATGATCAAACACCCCAAGTGACCGAGAGAGGAGGAACTGAAGCCCGATGTCTTTGTCACGCTGAGTAGTGCACGCGAGGTTGGGCATGAGAGGGACAGGTCTGGAGGTCTGGGACCTGTTGGTCCAGATCAGTGGGTCCTTTGAAGTCCCAGTTCATTTGAACCGTTCATTTGATTGAACCAAGGTATTGAGCCGATTCAATCCAGATCAGTGGGTCCAATCCCAGTTCATTTGATTGAACCTTAGGTCCCCCAGGTATTGAACCGCAGTTCCTTTCGCCATCTTTCGACTAGAAAAGCCTTATTGCCATAGTGAACATCCAACCAAGGCAGGGGGCCAACCGTGGCAGCCACGGTCTACATAGCTCCCAATCTGATTCTTCGGTGCCCTGGTGGTTGAAAAACTACGAACCCCTGGTGCTGGTACATGACTTGGTGGTGCTCGGGCTGTCGTGATCGGGTGGCCCACAGACCAAGCATTCAGCGCCTAGGACCACGTCTGCCACGGTCCTACCCCACCGTCCAAGCCGAAAACCACGTCCATTCGCATGCGTCTCCAAAAGACCACTTGCGAATGACAAAGAATCCCTCCTACATGCAGGCTCTTGATGAATAACCCTCCTAATCTTGAATTGGACATCCTTTTAATATTTCTTCATCCTGTGAGGGGTATTTATCAAGAGTCTTAATATAGATTATAGGATATGGTTCTTTATCAGGAGCCCGGCTTCAGGAGGTTTTCAGCCACCAATGTTTTCAGTTGATCCCTCTCCTTGAAAGTCGACCGTCATAACCCAAATCCAGCACCTGAAAGTCGACCGTCTTGGTACGCTTTTGAGATGCTAACAAGGTGGCGACATGTCCTGAAACACCATAGGCCAAGAATCTTGATGGGCCACATCTGCCCTCTGACTCCCCAGACTCAATCCGAGCATTTGGAGATGACCTGGAGAAAGGTCAGTCAGGATGCCCCGCTCCGCTTCGCAACGCTACGCTCCGCTTCTGGAAATGCCGTTCAGAACGGAGGAAGACCGCAGGAAGAGGGTGCCCCCCTTTTCCATGTACGACTTTGTGTTCTGGATCCATTCATGCCATAAGAGATCATGAGAGTCTTTTTTGTGTTTAAAGGAGCAGTACTCTCACGAGTGTATAGTGTCTATCAAACAACACAATGCACTGGCAAGACATGGGAAGACATTAAATACATACAATAGCAATAGGTGACAGTGTCACAGTCTTTCAGAGGGCTGACATATATGTGATATTGTACAACTCAATATGTCTGATCACTGCAAACACTGGAGGACGTAAACGTTGTAACATCAACAATGCTGAGTGGTCATTTACTGCAGTAGTACTGTATAAATTTTATGGGTGCAGCAAGAATGATCACCCCTGGGGATACCCAGATACGTTTGGCCGTTTCAAGTGCGAACCGCCAGGTGTGTCAGGCGCGCCTCGAAAGTAAGGGCGACCTTTTGGAGAAGGAGCTGAGTCGAGAACACCTCATGACACTGGCAGATTGATCTGTGTGTTGAACTTGTTTCATCGGCCCATACCGCGAGAACTCCTCGTGCCATTCGATTCTCTCTCTGTTCCATGTTTCTGGAAGAAACGGAAGATGCACATGGCCTCTTTGACCATGTTCCTCCACACAAAAGCAAGTGCCAAACAGCTGGTAAACTAGACATCCATTATGATTTCTTGGAGTGGACCGTGGTTTGGTCCACCATGTATCGAGTTCTTCTATGGGTACAAGTGTCCCCCAGTAGCAGCGGAAACGTGAATCCGCGTCCGCATCCGACCTTTGCGCTGAGTCCACGTGGGAGTCGATGCCTGCGCCGGATGGGAGAGTTTTTGGGGACCAAACTTGGCTGCTGGTTAGGCTGTAGTTACGCCAGTATATATCTTGGACACTGATCCTTGTCTTAACCATTTTGGTCAAGGCCTCGAAAAGGATGAACTTGGACATTCACAGGTGTGCATGGTGAGTGAATAGAAACCATGCTATACCATGCTCACGTGAGCACAGAGTGCTGACATCATAGACAGGCGGAAGCCACATTTCTGGGGCAATCCGCAATATCACCACATGAGCAGAAGATTCTACCTTCCAGGACCTTCCAAGAGGTCAATCTGACGTGACTTGTGAGCGCAACCATTTTGGACACCCTGTGAACGGTCCAGGCTTAGATATTATGAGACAAATGATGGAAGTTGCACCAGAATCAGTCTCGGAATCAGTGCTTACCGGATTGAGTGAGAACTAGTAAAAACCACCGCACCTGTTGCTTTTCGGAAAACCACCATTCTCTTTTCCCCTCCAGACCCATCATACGACGGAGGTGTAGTCAGTGTAGTCGTTCTCGCGGCAACCCGAACGAACGGGATCCCTCCGACAGCATAGTCAAATGCCAAATACTCCTAGAGAGGTTGAACAGCCCCTTTTCGACCATCCCATATATGTACCACTAGAGGGTCCTAGTTCTGGTCTCTCAACCTCTTTGGGTACTTGGAGACCAAACACAGTTGAACAAATTCGGAGGGCAACACAAGACGTTTCACGTTCGCACCAATTCCAGAAACCTCTCACACCTATATTCGTCTCACACCTGACGACTTGTTTATCTCTGTGGCTTCCAGGAGTTCATCGCCAGTACGGATCAGTGGAACAAGGCCTCCGATCTGGCGGGTTCCGAGCGCGGAACGAGCGGTTTGCGGGCGGTTTTGGGCGAAGGACAGATGTCTCACATTTTGGGGGATTCAGCAAATGATGCTTTCACTACTTTTCAGTTGTCATCGACTTTGGCACTGAAAGGGGTCAGAAGGCGACACCAGGGCATGATCAGTGCTCCTTTGTTGCAGTACATATACCCCTATAAGAGCATGTACTTTCGCCACAACCAAATGACTTTGTTTGGCGAAGCTTCTTGGATCAAGCTGAGCCACAAAGTAGCAAAGTGAGGCTCCCGGGTCCATAGGACTCCCTCATGATCCTGGCTACTTAATCAAGCTGTGATGGCTCAGCTAACCTTCCTATGGGAAGGCCACCCCATGGAGGGGGGCTCATCCCCAGCCGAAACTAGGTGAATGACCAGCAAAGGTAGACAATTCCAAGCCTCGCATGCATTCTCCTTGCAAATCAGAAGCTGCACTTGGTCAAGAATTCTGGAACCTTTCCTCCTGTCGAAAGATTTGGGAGTAGGAAACTGTGAGCGCGCACATTTTGGATACTGAGTTGTCCTTTCTCGTGTGCCTTGCCCTTCCTCAATTGGTCATATCGACACATACAGTAACTGGGCTATTTTTTGTTAGCTGCTCTTTTTTTCAAAACAGAAGGTCAGGATGCTGGAAATGACTTGTTTCAGCATGGAAAATGAAGAAGAGGGAACTAACTACCAATTCAGCACACTGACCAAAAAGTGAAGATTGATTAAAACAAAGTTTCGCAGATCTAGAATGCGCAAAGCTTTGCAACATGCTTTCTGTTTAGAGTAAGAAGAGCTTTCTCAGGAGATAGGACAAATGCTTTGTTGAGACCAACAAAAATTAACTAGGGAAGTGTGCTAAGGGAAGAGGCTGATTTATTTTTTGTTATTTGTTTTTTTGACGAAACAACATTGCACATACAGTATATATATAGTACATACTGTATGTATTATTGAACAATTACAACAGCAATGAAGAGCTGCTTAAAAGGAACAATAGCCAAGAAAGGACAGAGAGAGAGAGAGAGACACACACACACTGTTTATTTAAGTAGGGCACATGCTACTTGAAGAGCTCTATTTATCTAATGCAAAATACAGCCGAAAAGACACAGGCGTCATTGATGTTTGAGTTTGGGCTGACAGCTTGTAACACAAGAATAGAAAAATTACAAGAAATCGCAAAGGAGTACCCTTTTTGCATGCGTAGAAGCTCACAATTCCTTTTGCATTTGGTCTAGCTCGGACCTTTTTCACAAACAAACAACTTGTTACGTTTGAATCTTAATGTTCTTATGCATGACACTAAGATTTGAGCTTTCAATTTTGGCGCTTGATGTTATTCCACAATTTAACGTACTGGAACAATAGAAAAGCATAAAGGAGCTCGGAATAAGAGCTTACCAATTGTTGAACAAGCCAAGAAGGAACGCGTAGGGGAACGGGCACCAAGAAAGTAGCCTACTACAAGACTACCAAACATAAGCATACAACATACCAAAAAGACAAACCACAGAAAATGCAAGGCAATGGATTGATCATCATAATAACAGGTTTGTGTTCTTGTGTGTTTTGTGTTTGTTCTGAGGATTGAACTCACGCTCCAACCAACCACAACCCGAAAGAAACACTTGTTACCCATTACCAAATACATGCAACATGCGCACGCTGAGGGTCCCCCGTTCTGAAAGATTCTGGAGAAATCCCATCGTTTCTCCCTATCCTCCGAAAACATCCAAGATCTTGCCTGGCCCAGCCACCCTCACTCTCCACTCCGCCGACCCCCACCCACGACCTGACATCGGCAAGGACTGTGAGGCGATCGGCGAGCTCTTCACGCGGCGCCTGGGTGCCACCGAAGTGAAGCTCAGCTCCGACACAGCCGCCGAGGCGGACGCGGCGACACGGACGTGGGGGGAAAACGTGAAGATGATGTGGGTGGATCATGGTGGATCTAATGGGCAAACACTGCAGAGGATTCCAGAGGATTGGGTGCAATCGCCCTTAATCACCATGGCCGAGGTCGCCTGTGTTCTGTCAGGAACGGAACCGTTTTTCGTTACGAAACCCTGAGCGACGACAGGGGGAGAATGAGACATCTTGAGACCGAACTTATTCGTTTGGAGAACTAAAGATCACTGATCACTTCGGAAGTGGTGAATGAATCGATTGGGATTTCATTGGTGTTTTTTGGTCATCCATGTTTGAAACTTCTGATGTTCAGGTCACTGTGTTTTTTCTGAGTGCGCTGACTCCCGGACCGAGTTTTTTTGAAATTCACAGTGCCACGTCCGAGTTGTGTGTTCCTCCCAAGGCAGAGAGGGAGAAGCACGAAGCAGCTGTGAAAGCCGCAGAGCAGGAAAGCCGGGAGGTGAAAGAGAGATGACAAAGCACGACACCTTGCACTCTCCACGGCTTACTGAAGATATGTTTGACAGCTTCCTGATCAGAAGATATCTCCATGGTCTTCCACTGCGTTCTGAAGCGTTCCTACCGATTGAAGGCCGATCTAAAGCTCCCTGGGCTAACTTTCAACGTTTAAAAGGCCCGATTTGGGTGTCGTTTGTTTCTCAACAAGGAGGCGTTTGTGTGTACGTGTTATGTGTTTTGTTTTTTAATTATATAACCTGCAAGGCTAGGCAGGCTAGCGGCAGGATAGCCCCATTTTGTGACCATTGGAAACTTGATGTTGGACCACATTTGCACTCATCCTGAAAGATGTGTGAAGGAGTATTGCCAAGGACCTCCCAAGGAAACAAAACACAAACGCACATGGTCCATTAAATCAAACTCCATGGCGTCGAGACAGGGGAGTTCCGCTGCCGGCTTCGTTCCTTTTGTTGGCCTCCAGAGACCGTGGTGTCGGTCCATCCGGAACCCAGTCGGAGCGCCAAGTCGACGGCTGGGCGCCGAGTGGCGACGGTCCACCAGGTCGGCTTGAATCCTCCACACACCAGTTCCACGACTGGCAGAAGGGGCCCCCCAAGGCCAGGTCCTAACAGGGTACCATTAGCTTTTTATAGAAGACCACGTCCTAGCATGTTGAAAGCCACAGGATACTATATATACTAGTAATTTGTATTGTTTCTTGGATGATCTTTGACTATTTGACACGTTTGGCTTGCTTGATGTTTTCCAGAACGTTCGGATGCTGATGAACGCTTCAGACTGATGTACTGTATCTATTTTTTGGTAAACACATTAATCTATCCATCCCCTTTGATTCACCAGAAATGGCACTATAAAATCATAGCTACCTCCAGACAAAAACATTTACATTCCTAAAATGGGATAGGGACCCCGTTTTATAGTGGTGCACTTTGTGTCAGTCCATGATTGTACTTCCCTTGAATGTTAATGCATTTTGTAGTGACATTTCTTCTAGCGGAAGTCAGCAACTCTGCGAACCCAAATTGCGCGGCATTTGTGGCGCAAGGAGGAGCAAGAGGCACCTCCGGCACCTGATGAAAAGGACTTGATCGTCCTAGCGTGCGATCCTGAGCATGAAAAGACGTGCAGTCTTTTCCAGCTGGTGATTTGCTTAAAGCATACAGAATGCGATCTTCATATAAGAAATATGTTTGTTTACATCCAAGCACCCACTTGGGTGCCAGTTAGTTGTCATTTGGCCACGAGAAGAAGCCCATCAGCCCCAGCTGCACGCACGGTTTAGCTTCGTTTTCACCTTGGCACCACTTCCTCGGCCCAGGTCTTCGGATTGGACATGGATCGACCATGGCTCCAGCCACATCAGCCAGGTTTTGGAGGCGAAACCGGCGGATCAGCGACCTCGGTCTGTTCACGGGCCAGCGACCTCGGTCGCGACCGATGAAACGGGTCAAAGATGCTTCTTTTCCATGTTTCTTTTGGCCTCCGAAGTCGAGAAAGACATCGAATCTTTTCCAACACATGTTTTGCCAAGCTTCGGTTGGATGCAGTATGAGATGCAGTGAGCAACTCGTATGCAACATTTGTGTTAACTGGTTCGGGAACCAGATGGAGAGACGACGCGAGACGACGCAAAAACCAGGACTCAGAGGAGATTTGTCAGTGAAACCTCAATGAACGGCTTTCAATCCACAAGGGAGAGTCAGGATACGTCAGGATGACGGAAACGGATACACAGTACAATGACATTGTTACAATAGACTGACTGGCATGTGTTCGTTCAAACTCAAGGTGCTATAGACTATAGTGAGACACACACACAACACATACACCATTATATATATGGTGTTTGTATGTGTTGTGACTTGCTTGATCGTTCTTGATTCCATGTCGCGCTGTGTTCACCTCAGTCTCCATGCGTGAGGAACTACGACCCGTCTTCAACTTCCTGCCGCCAGCGCATGCCTTGGCCAGCTCTCAGCCCTCCAAGGCGCGGGACCCTCCTGAATGAACGCCTGACTGGTGCGACTCGTAGTTGGCCTGACTGGGAAGTTTTGCTCCCAATAGAGATTCCGAAATGGATCATATGGATCCACCCACCGTCATTCCGCACCAGGAAAGGCCCGGGTTCGTTCTTTGTCTCGGTACTTGGGATTTTTGCTAAGATACCAAATCCACAAGCTCCAAGGGTCACAACTTCACTGGTTTGAGGATGTTTGGTTGATTTCGCGGTTAATGTTCGTTCGGACTGTCTTGGATGCTATGGGCTGTCGGTGCAGGTCACTTGAAGGTCCGAGGTCTTCCACCAAGGCACCAGGGCACTGATATTGCATTGATGCACCAGTCAAGTAATCCAGTCAAGTCATTGCAAGTAGTGCATCGAGACTCTTCCACTATATATCTTCCACTAGACCCTACAAAAAAAGGAACAAAACCGATTCGAAGCAGGGCTCCAGGAAGGCCCTTGGACTCCCGGAGCGTCCCGGTACACCTCGGTCACCGTTGGTTTTCCAAGCTCGATTGCCAGGCCGAAAGCGGCGGCGAGGCCGTGGCGGTGCCAGAAGCTCCGCCGCCCAACGAGGAGAAGCTGCGGCAGGAGATGCGGATCGCCGCTTGGAATGGAGACACGTGAAGAGGTGGGGGCCCAATCGGAGGCGCAAGAGATGTAGATCATTCACTTGGAGATGTAGACTGTCTATGGCAGGAGGGGTTCTTCGCCCAAGTTTGTAGACTTGATGTGGGACCCCCTCATCTAAAGGAGATTTTGGGGTCTGTGCCATATATATAAATAGATCGATGTACTAAGTAACCACCTGCATTGCAGAGAGCAAATGGGAAGATACCTCAGAAGAGGTGTCACATGATGGAACGGATCTTTCTTTAAGGATCTTTTACGATAACCATGCGGGTGTGCTGTGCGTTGCAATAATTGGGTGAAGCTTTGTCCATGATGGACACCCAGGGTTAACCACTTTCCACAACGATACTTTTGTTACAACACATGTTAATTACTTTTGTGCGGGGGTGGGGTTCCAAATCATGTCTATGAAAGTGTTGATTTTGTGTTGCACCACCCAGCAGATGCTTTGGGGTCACTATACCGTTTAGAAACAATGTGGTCGAAAAGAGGTCGTTCCTTGCCCCCTTGTGCGACATGTTTCAAGCGGACGCATGCGAAAGCCTTGAATGGCCAAGGAAAGTGTCAAGAAGGAAGAACTGGTGCCATCCTTGGGTGTTGCGAGGATGCGTGTCATCTCGTGGTTCCACGATGGTCGCACGCTGATATCTCGCCATCACGCTTGCTCTAAGAGATTACCTACTGTAGGGATGCCCTCTGACAACAGGAGAAGCAACCAACTGCTTCAACCAAAATAAACAGATGTGTTGACTCAGGATAACATGGCAACAAGGTGGACTTTTAAAGGAGACATGCTGTAACCAATTCTGAGATTTGCTGCTTTGCTATGAACTAGGGAGGGTACTGAATACTGTTTGTGCTGACTCACTCCTTCCCGTGAATGAATAGAAGATAACACAGAACTGTTGATGTATACGCGGCTTGGATTTGATTTGACTCTATGAGTGTTATTTCGCAAGGTACTTTCCACAAAGATCATTGACCCTGGTATGCTATTTTCTGTCCTTTATAAAAAATGTAATATGTTTGATGCCGTTGTTTGTAGGCTTCATCAGGCTCAAGCGAACGGCTGAAATCGGAAAGCACCGCCATGGCGCGTTTCTTGTGTCTTGCGGCTGTCGTCATCACAAGTCACGCTGAGAACGCAGCAGCTACGGAGTCTTTCACTCAGATTGGATCATGTCATTGCAATCAGAAGTGGTTGGCAGCAGGATCAAAATCCCCTCAACCGCCGCTATATTATCCTCAACAAAGAGTCTACTAGGGAAGGGACAAGGAGGGTTTGACAAGCAACATCAACTCACCGAAGTTATGGTTGAGACAGAGGATTGGCTTTCACAAGTCCTAAATCTTTTGAAGGCGACCTAAAGACCTGCTATTCTTTGAAGGAACAACCTGCAAAAAGCCCAAAGGCCGTGTCCTAAAAGTCTCCCGTTGGTCTCCTGTCGCCGGGTCCCGCCGGCCCCACTCACACTCACTTGCACTCTCTCACATACTCACTCACTGTGTTGCCCTGCGTTTTGCTTGCTCTCAAGGGTGGGGAGGCTGTGTTCATGTGAGCCGGCTTGGGGCTGGAGCGCTCTCACCCTGCGTTTCCCTACGTTTTGCCTGCTCTCAAAGACATGGGAGGTCCAAAGACGTTTTCCACTCCACTCCACTTGCTACTTGCTCACTCACTCACACACCAAATCACCCACTCTGCTAACTGCAATAAACTTCACATGTGGGATTGTTTGGTCCTACAATGTTTATACTATGATCCTTTCGATTAGGGAACTTGAGGCAGGCCATCATTTCCAGAGCACCCCAGAGGACCACACCAGGACCAACCCACGCCGGTCTCGCCAGGTCTCTCGCCAACGCCACCAACCTCACGGCTCCGAAGCTCCGCGGCACGGGAATTCCACCGAAGGCTCCGACGAACCACACAGAAGGCGTCGGCGAGGCGAAGGCGGAACCGGTGAATGCCACGGAACACGAGGCCTCACAGGCCCGTGCAGCCTGGCCTGTGCCCTGGTTGAAGTGGGGTCTGAGGCAGCTGGAGCAAATGCAGAGCTGTGTCACTCACCAATGGATGAAAGGAGACCAAAAAGGATGAGGAGAAGAAACATCAATAAGAGTCAAGAGTCAAGAAGACGGAAAAGAAGATACGTATACAAAAGGACACGAGCGGATTTGAGTACACCCATGCAGCCGTTGGCGAGATAGATGGGCTACCCTTCCAAAAGCCATGTTCTTTTGCCCTGACCATGTTGCTTTTGCGAGTCGGCCTCGGCACGGATGGTTTTCTGGATCAAGTGGGATTGATGGATGTTTCCTTGCCGGGGTTGTCCAAATCCAAATCACAGAGAAAAATTGGGTTGAAGTCCTAGCTCGTCCACTCTGATCTCAAGGACGTGTGTTGAGGGACCAGAATCTCGGGTACTCCTGGAACAAAAAACACTTCGAAGTGGACTGATATGGACCATGGATCTGAGGATTTTGGAGTGTCTCACTGTACCTAGTGACTTATCACAGTAGCTTTAGACAACTGGTTTGCTTGTTTTACTCGAATAGGTTGAAAAACAGATAACTTGTTCCAAGCATACCGTGATGTGTGACGAGAGATAGCTTTGCGTTTGAGGAGTTGCTTGAATTTGTTAATATACGTGATAATTTTGATATCCTCGCGGTTTGCGAGGTTGGTTACTCTGAATTGTGGATGCCAATGGGTTCTCGAAATCCGGACGTACAGATCCTGTTATTTTGGAATGCCTCCAGGCACAGCCGCAGCCCTTAATCTCAGCACTAGCGCTCTACCAAAGTTCCAGTTTCTAAGAGTTTTCATGTTGAACCCCATGGTCAGAAATCCACAGTGGGCTTTGCGGATCTTTGCGGTTTGAGAAGAACAGGGTTCTTGGATCCTCAGAAGGATACTCACAGGAGGGATGAACTGTGCAGCTAGACTACGTTTCTGCCCTATTTTAGAGGACTAAGACAATAGACACAGGCTTCGTTTGCGCATGCAGGAAGTCATACCAAACCAACATTTATCATGCTATCCTGTGGTGGTGTGTATGTAATAACGGAGTGTGCCAACCCGGGCAAGAGGAACATGGACTTGTGCAGGAAGTATGCGGCTAACATGAGCGTTTTGATCCATTTGATTGCTCAACATTGCCGTCCCTATAGGGATACTTCCCTTTGAACTTCCGCAAAAATGAGACGACCTAGTGGGTGATGTGGATGACAGGCTTCTTCCATGGCTAGCGATGTTTGTCGCATTCATGTTCTGGCGCGCTTTCCATTAATGAAACATCTCCAAGGGCTACGCTGGCAGTGGTTACGGCAGCGGCTATGGCAGCGGCTTGGGTGGCGGTTTCGGCGGCGGTGGCGGCTGGGGTCCGAGCCGCTTGCTCGCAATCTGCACAGGCACATGCAGAGGTGGAGGAGAACAATGATGTGCCAACCAGATGTGGGACAGCTGACAATGTGACAACTTGGACTCGGACCAAAGAGTTTCTGACTCTAGCAAAGGTTCTGGGCTGTAATTGTCCATGTGACCATGTGCCTTTTGTTGAAGCAGGATAGAAGGCTATAGGCTCTCCAGTCAAGCCCTGGCCCTTTTGCTTGTTGGTCAACACTGAACATGGTAGACACAGATTTGTGGTGCTCATCATGAGAGAAGTCCAAGGCAACAACTGGGGCTGGGGCCACGGAAAACGTGGCGAGACCTGCTGTATGTGCAGTCGGATGAACCGTCGTGGCAAGACGATCCTGTTCGCTGGAGGTGGGGCCGCTTTCTCCTGTTGGCCCCGTGCGGGGGGCCATCAGTTTGGTCTGTTTGTACAGTGGTTCATAGATGTTCGGTTGCTCCTGGGCGATGTTGGGTCTGAACTCCTGGCAGAGAGACTCCTTTTTCATGTTCGGTGGCTCATTGCGACCAGTCCTGACCGACCCTGACCCAAAGATTCGGAGAATCGAGTGGAGCAATCCAGTCGACGAATCACAGTCGGGAGGTGACTACGACCATTACTACGGCAAAAGGACGGCGCACCAGTATTGCGACCAGGCAGAGTGCAAGGGAGTGTCGTAGAAGGAAGGGTTAAATTTTGGTACATATATATATATATATAACACAATAACAATGTATATCTTTATATATGTACCAAAGCTAATGAGCTTGGCCTAGATCGATCCATGTTATCTATATAAAGCGGCCAGGTGTGCGAGGTGCAGTGCGCCTTGCAGCAGGGCCACAAGTTCGGATGCTACGAGGCGCCGCGGCTTTCGGCACCGCCGTTGGGTCGAGGCCGCCTACTCGTCCGAGTCGCGGCACGTTCGGCGCGTGCGCGCTCTGGTTGGAGCTGTATGCGCTGTAATGGGGTTGAGGGTGGGATGTGTGGGTGGATGTGGGTGCTTTTACCTTTTTCAGATTTTTCAGTCAGTCATACAGAAGTGCTTCTGTGTTTGCTTCAGAAGATGAGAGTGTGTATTACACCCCTTGGTCTTGAGAGCGGGTGTGCCGGGAGAGTTGTAGCTCAAAACCCTTCATGTAAACACCATGCAACATGTCACAACCTTCTCTGAAACCTATAGGCGAAACGCGCATGTTTTGCATCTTCTTGTGCCCAATCTCAATGTGCAATGTCCAGGACGACAATCAACAGCTCGGTCTTCGTTTGCCCACTATCAATGCGCAATGCCAATGACCAGAATTATCAGCTTGATGTTTCTTTTTCAAAGATCAATTGTTTGGCTTTGAATCTTGAAAGGTTGCAGCCAGAAAGAGCTAAACCAGACAAAACAACTTCACCAAGAAAAAACCTTGTGAAGACTGAAGCGGCCTCCTTTTTTGGTGTTCAATGTTAAGGCCCGTTTGACAGTGTAGAAAGACTTCCTGTAAGCAAGACAGAAACAACCTACTGGGGCAATGCTAGTTGTGTTTAGGCCTTGCAGGCGCTGGGTGCACACTCCATGCATATCCGCCCACTCAGGCTCCAATCACCACGCTGTAATTCCGCCGTCATGATCATTGTCGTGATGGTGTCAAAAACACGTCTTGCCTGCTGCGTTGCTTGCTTGTGTTTGATTACGGTGATAGAAACGGCTTTTGAGACAGGACACCAGAAGAAAAATCTTGTTGCCTGGATAGAAGTAAATCGATCCTATTCCTGGTCTAGTTAATTGATGATTTGCTTTAATTGGATCTGAATGCTCTTAAGAATGCATTTATAGAAATGAAAAGGAAAAATATGACAAAGCAACTTGACCAAGAAAACCCTGGTGAGGTTGAAGCAGCTCCCCTTTTGGTGATCAATTTAACAAGACATTTGAGGGTATTGAATAAGTTAAGTCAAGCAAGACACCGAACCCAACTGAGAGAATTGAAAAGCCTTTCGAGACTGCGAACAGCTTGCGGGAAGAATGCCGAGGGAGAGGAAGAGTTAAATGAAGATATGATAGTGCGAATCAGTTGTATCAACAATGAAAGAGTTGAATGAGAGGAGCAAGAGCTTACAAATAGTCAACAAGCAAGGCTATAAAGCGGCCAAAGGCCATGAAGGCAATGACTGAAAAACTTCAATTTGCGAGTGTGGAAGCCAAAGCAGTGAGAGCTTCCCATTTTGAATGCGGAACCCCACCCCTTTTGCACTGTCGGAAGCACGGTGGCTCTACTACTCGGCAAAATGCCGTCGTGCAAACGCAACCGCGTCTGTAACATATAAATGTACAAGAGTGTTTGATGTGCTAAATGTAGACCCAATGCTGGAGCTACCGAGCAAGACAAAATAAACAAACAATAACAAGGGTTCACACGCAATGAAGCTACTATGTGATTTGGATGTGTATTTTTTTGTGCTGCTATCATTTTATCTCAAACATTGTTTGTTTGGTTCAATCTGTTTGTTATCTCTCCAACTCTCTATAGGCCTGGTCTGAAAAAAACAAAAACTATTCGCTCCGAAGCTAGGTGTTGGTGATGTTTGGGCCCCATTTTGGTTGCGCAGCAAACATATCCCAAGAGCAGATGGTCACTGGCGAAGACGTAATGAATGCTGAAGCTGAGGATGCGCAAACCAAACCTTTCCCTTGACACTCCCTGTTAAAACGAAGCAAGTCCGCTTTGTGGACGGTAAGGAAAGGACAAAACATACTATATAGTGGTCCCCAAATAGATAGAAACGGATTCCAATAGATGTTTACTGTGGATTTACTGTTCTGTCTGTGTGAGGGGTCAATATAAGCGAAATACAAGAGTGGCCGCGTTTGGGATTCCTCAAGCGACCGCGTCGCCATTTATTTCGGTGCAGGAGAAGGACCTCATCCGGATGAGCCAAAGGCGACAAAGAGACCGGGCGGGCTTCGGGAATGGACCGTGTTTGCATTTCGCTCCAGGACTCGTGCTGGTTTGGCAGGTGTATATTTTATCCCTAGGGATCCAAGTACCTTCTCAGAAGGTACTTGGACCCTCCAAACCTACATAGCAGTGTCTCCAATCACCTTCTCAGAGTGTATGTGGATCTATAGGGGTTTTATGATTTGATTTGTTTGGTGATGTTTGGTGAGTTACGATCTTATACTATATATAATAAGGATTTTTATCGACCCTTTGACAAAAGATGTCCCAGGAGCAACTCTGCTTGCTGATCTTACTGATCTTACTGATTGATCTTGGATTGAACATTTGCAAGCAACAGAACAAGAAATGATGTCGCTCCAGGGCTCCACTCACGTGCCGCGTGCCCGGTTTGCCATGTTCGCTCTCATGTAGACATCCCACGACAGACGGATGGTGCGATGGCGCCCACGGCAGGTACCAAGGTCAGTCCAACTTCGAGATCCGACATGAGGCGCCATCTGGCTGGCTGTTGAGACAAACACCGAGGGTTACGGGGGTGCCTTTTCGGTCTGAGAGCCGTTTAAGGTGAAGAGATCTCAAGGTCCAAAGACCAAAAGTCAAGGCTTGTTATGTACGAAGCTCAAAACATGTTAAAACAGTCTAGGCAGGACAAGGTACGGATGGACCGGAGTTCATCACCCGTGCGGATGCCACGTTACTTTTACCGTAGAAGGCTTGCTCTACCCTACAATTTTTTTTTGCAGGGTTTCACACTGCAGGTTACCCACCCGGAAGGCCATTTTTTGCGTGAGAATTTCCGGCGATCCTCGTCCGTGCGAGGCACCGCGATTCGTTGCGGCTTTAACGAACGTGTGACCTTTCATGAAAAGATATGCCGCGGATGCCCAACAACTCACAAAACTTCCAACGATTGACCTGTGCAGTCGAAGGCGCCGTTCAAGACAGGCAGTTCAGGTTCCGGTTCCCTTTTGTTCCATGTCTTTGCCAGGGGGAAATGAATGAATCTTTATTTGAACCCCCTAAGCGACCGTCTCAAATCACCTGCACCGGACCCACACACATCATCCTGTGAACAGGGTGGTTTTTACTGTATAGGTCAATCTTGGGAATCTTTAGACACTCACGCTGTAGCACAAGAAATACGTCCCTTAATCCAGAAATGCTCCCTCAGCAGAAAAGCATTTCATGGGAGGAACCCGTTTCTTGAACGAAGGTATCTAAAAAGCGCAATCTCTTCAGGTTACAGGCGAGGATGTAGTTGGATTTATGTGTTGTCTTTCTCATTGACTATAGGTGTAGCCGGGAACATGGACACTCTTGACTGCTGGTATTTGCTCCCCTTTCTTCTGCAATGCGCCGCAGAACCACTACGGCAGCATTTGCTGAGCTCAACCAGGCTGCATAGATAGAGTGACTGTTGCCTGTCGAGAATTGCTGAGGGAAGGGTCTCCATACTTCACCAGTAGAATCTGAAGGTATCGTGACAGAGTTAGATCCTCAGAACATGAGTGCTCTCAAGCATTTTTTTGCCCTCAGCTCTTTCTGGGGCCAGCTCCTTTTGGTTTAATTCATGCTACATGTATCTACATGTTAAATCTCCAATTATTTGCCCTTTGCGCAGCACTGCCACAGAAGTTGGTGAGTGACAAGAGCAAAGTTTCTTTTGGCGTGCCTCAAAAAGCAATGAACTGAAAGGCGTAAAGGCGCCACGGTTCCAGGCACATGTGTAAAGCTGCAGCTGCTGGCGATCTAGCACACTGGCACAAGAAAGGAATTGGGACACAGTTCTTTTTTTCATCTTCTCGTTTGTGGAACTGAAGTCCAGTGATACCAAAAGAAACGGGACCAGGTCGTTTTCGTTCTTTTGCAAACAAAACTGGAACTCGAGAACATGACAGACATTGACAGACTGGACTAAAGAACCATGTTATATAGTGACCGCAAGTCGCAAGTCCAACAAACACCGACTCGTCGCGGCTCCTCTCCGCGTCGTCCCAAACAGCGGGACCCGCTGCGAGCGACCCCGAACTGCTCGCCGTGGACTCGTGCGAGGACGTCGCGCGAATCGCTCGCCGCTATATCATTTATGTGTCAGGAGTTAGGCAAAAAAGGAATCTCAAGTCATCTCAAGTCGTTTCATCTGCGAAATGGTGCTGATTGATTGCGGTTGACTTCCTGAAGTATGAGAAGATCACCATTTACACCTCAATGAGGTTGAACAGGAGTACAGTGGTTTAAGAGTAGATGGCACAACCCCCAAAATGACTTGGGTCCGCCACCTTTTGGGGACTGTGCCATCGACTCTCAACCTAAAACAACTTGTCATCTGGATACCTGTCCCAAAAGCTTCTCACCACCGGTGAAGAAGCCTTTACTGTACTGCCGTTCGTGCACCGTCCTGTCTCCGTCGCTGCACGAAGCACGTCCGACACGTGCCGAGGCGCGGTTGGAGAAGCACTCCGAACCCTTGCGGCTTTACCTGATGAAGTTCGTGGTGCGCCTGGGGGGGCAGGGAAGACGTTTCCGAAAGCAGCGGAAGCTAAGGGTTCAGCGAGTTCGAGGGGCGCGCGTTTGACAGATGTTCCAAGCAAGCGAAGAAAAATGAAGAACAGCCAGAGACAAAGAAAAGGGTCAAGATCAACGGGTGTAGTGCTTACTTATGTCAAGGAATACATCAACTGATCACTTAAGTTCTATGGGATGATTGTTGCCAGAATCCCAAATGCAAAGAAAACCTGGTTCTTCAAGGTGACCTTTTGATAACCTGGTTGGTTCGGTCACTTAAGCCTCCTACTGTAAGGGTCACGAAAAGGAACCTTCAAAAGGTCACGAACTGAAGAAGCTTACAGAACCCTATCTTTGCAAATTCCAGGCTTTGTTAGATCGTGGAGATGGAACAGGCGGCTTTGGCACCTTTGGGTATGTTTGTCACTCCAGAGCTTTGTCCTGACGTTGCTTCGGAAGTCTTGACACCCTTCAGATGGGTCTCATCAAAGCTGCCAGACTCTGGCCCCAGCGTTGAGGGGGTTCCACAGTTGCCTTTCTGCACTGGTGCTGCTGTTGCGCCAGCTTGGCGCACCACTCTTCACCATCTTGCTCAGGGAGATGATCGCCAACCCTCTTCGCAATGAGCTCGTGGCTCGGTCGAGATCAGGGACACTGATATCGATCATGGAGAGCCTCCAACGTCAGGCAATTCAAAATCCGCGTGAGACGTTTGCAGACTTGGGTGCCCCGTGGGCACCCGGCAAATCCACGAGCCCAAGGCTCCCATTGGCTCAAAAATGCGCTTTTCCACAAGTTCCAGTTCCACTCGGAGAGGCTTCTTGAACGAACAATCGGACCTGCAGCTGGCCAGGCTTGGGGCTGCATCTTGGTCCGGAGCAAGCTCTCGTACCTCTTGAGCCTCTTCACTGTCAGTTCACATCAATCAAGCTGTTCGTTTGCATTTTCGAAGGTCACCATACATGGCTCAGATATGGCGGTCATGGCACCCGGAGCCGTTTCACCCGAGCTTGGACCTCCCCATTCGTCTGTTCATGTTCAGTCAACCAGGGTGCCCAGGTCAACCAGAACAGCAGAGATGACAAATCATGGCCCACCATGGCCACTCGCTGCACACATCATGTTCGATGCACCTCATGGCCTCCCTGGTGCATCCTTCCGGAGCAGAGTCCAGTTTTTGTGCATGTTTTTTGCTGCAGACTTGTCCATTCGGAGCAATTGAGAACAGCTAAGTGCAGAATTTGCACACATATTATTGATATAGGGAATCTTGATTCATGAAGTTGCATCTTGTGATTCCTAGGCTTTTTTGAGGGCAGGTTTCTTCTTCAGTTCAAAGGCTTCCAACATAGGATCCAGCTCCTTTCGACTCGCGAGTCGGCGTGAAAGACTCGCACCCCCGCGCCGCGCTTCGCGCGTTGGAACCGGCGCCGTGTCTCCCGTCGAGCCGTGCCGCACAGGTGCCAGCTTTGACGGGCGCCTTGGTGGAGCTATGTCACGAGCAACCGGAGGATCCAGCGAGGTGCCCCAGGCGGAGCATCGGAGCGGAGCGTCCGTGTGTCTCAAAGTGGGCGAGACGGCCAGGTGCCAAGCGATGTACCGGGGATCGGGAGACTGAAGACGTCAGGTTTTTTTTGTGGTGGAATTTCTGGGTGATCAGACTGGGAGCCTGAAAAATTGGGGTGCCTGAGTGCTGAGTTCTCATGAAATTGAGTACTTACATCATGAAGATCCCCATGTTTAAGGCTTATGGCTTCATGTCAAACTCGAGTCCGTCGAAATCTGCCCAGACTTTCCAGAGCCAACGAGATGTTCACAGCAGTGATGCGAAACGCGACTAGAAAGGAGAAGAAACATTACCAACAGCATAGCAGTGCTACGTAGGTCTATATGTTTGCTTGCACGTGGAGTATGTATATACATGTATGTGCCAGTCGTGGCAAAGCAGCAGCTGGTGAGGTCCGTCAAGAAAATTGAGGGCCATGAACAAGAAAGTGTACCCAAGTAGGACACCCTATCTTTCTTTCATGTTCTAGGCCGTCAAGAAACCATTGAAGTCCTGCCATGTCCTACCGAGCTTTTGGGGGCAGAAACGCACGCAAAGGCATCTCTGTTTCATGCTGCCCTGCCCTAAATATGACAGGAAGTGCTTGGGCTTATGACTCTGACAGTTGGGGGAACTGCTCAGTGATCAGTGATCAGTGCCGACTTGCCTCGACCAGTGATGTTCATGCCAGCTTGAGAATTCAGAATATGCATACCACAGATGTGTGCAACAACCTGTCTTAACATGTCTTAACATTTTGTTTGCATGGCTCAATATCATCGTTGTGCTTCTTCAGGGTCGCCTGACAAACCTCTTCCTACACTTCCCTGCCAATCACAACAGACTATGTGTGAGATAATCGCACCTCGATGTTGAACTTGAAAGACATGAACACCGAAACCTGTGAAATCCTTGAGCGTCTGGGCTCGCGGGATAGCATCCCGACCCCATCTCCTTCCCTTCCATCCCGTCTTTGAGGTCGCATACTTGGCGGAGTATTTGGCCTTGTACTCGGAGGCCGGGTGAATAGGCCTTTCACCAGTTCGCCCTGCCTTGGCGTTCGCATTCGCCTGCCGGGGCCTGCGGTGCAAACCGGTTTTTTTGAGGCAGCTTTCGGAGGGCTTGGCCGGGGTTTGGCGAAGGGTTTGAAGTTGGTGGGATGGGTGTGAACTGCCTTCTGACCTGGTAAATTCATTTCAAATGATGGTATGGTGGCACTTGGCGGATTTCGGCGTTGCAACCATCAGTATATTTTTTGGGCTGTGCTGCAAAGAATGCAATGGATACTGCATGTAGCTTCTGTTCGAGCCAGATTCAGGCAGTGCCCAAAACCATGGTGAGGGTCAGTAGAAGCCCAGCTTTCCTTGTTCGGGCGCCTGTTGCATTTGGAACGAGTCGAATGCGTCGGGACGCCTTGTTCCACGGTCACACACGATGTCTTTTTTGCGTCACGCGACGTGTTTTTTTTTTTTCAGGGACCATATGCCATATGTCCACAGCATTCCGAAGAATTCCTCTGCCAGTAGTGAACTGCACCTCATTCATTATGAACTAAGATGAACCAAGCTGTGGAAGACCTCCAGGTGGCCCGGGAGTCTGGGTGCGGCGCCACAGCTTCGCCGCCTTCACGTGCAACTTTCCGCGCGTACGGGGAGTACGGTAGGGAGGTTCAAAACCGATGAGGAGGATCGACCTTTTTTGTGATTCCCCTTAGCCAGCCGCTTTTTGGATGTTCTGACTACACCCGAGGCGTGAATTGAGATGAGCTGCGGCAACGGGGGATGTTGGCAAGCTGTGGCTGTGGCTGTGGTGTATCAGGGTGTACTGATACTGAAGATATTGTTTGTTCTTTGACCCTTATGTATTGAGCCATCCGATATTTATCCCTGGCAAGCCATTAGTTACAACTGAGAAGAACAGAAATTCCGTTGTTCACATGAGGTGCAAAACATCCCAGCCTATCCCGGTCTTACTTATATGATCTTATGAGGATCTTATATTGAACAAGGAACCTTACTATGGATTCAGAAATCGCTTGGCCGGTGATCAAAATCCCAGTCTGACTTGTAGATATGACCCGATCAGCATGGTTTCTTGAAGATACTTGAAGATGAGTTTCTTAGAGTTAGATTTTTGTTTTAAGCAGCATAATTAGTGAATTATTTGGTTAGTCGCTGAGTTTGGTTAGGAACAGATATGATAGTTTGTTGAGTATACATATTAATATAGATTGTAATATATTGTAATTGTAAATCATTGTTTATTCCATTGAGGTTATAATATCCATTAATATCCTTTATAAGTATATAGTATTCTAGTCTATACTTGTACGATATACCCTGAAGCATGTTATCGTTTTCTGGAGTATCTTCGCAGGGTTCGACTGGCTCACTTCCCATAAAAAGCCCAAGGGCTGTTCGGTGAGCTGCCGATCCATCGGCGTGTCCTGAACAGGACCTTGGTAGTAGTAAGGCACGTGCTACTAGCTTCTTGTTCCTAGTAGTAAGGCACTTGTTACTAGTAGCGATGCACTTGTTCCTAGTAGCTTCCTTCCAGATATTTCAGCCACATTTTCTGTCTACAGGGACGTGATCGCCCCAGGAATTCTGTCTGTGGGTTGTTGACAAGCGAAGCCTCCCTTCATTCTAACCCTTCCAAATCCCAAGCGGCTTGGCTAGTGTTTTTGGACACTTTACCGTATTAAAACACCACATGGTGGGCCTACTGATACCCCATGTTTGAGTCAAACCGTTCACTGAATCTGGCAGATTCTGGGGCCCCCTGTTTATCGGACTGTCGCTGCACCAAGAGAGCACACACTCTGCAAACCACTGGTGCCACTGGATGAGCGCAAGTGCGCTGCACGTTTCACCTGGGAGGCATGTGCGCTGCAGTTTGGAACACAACTGGTGTGATTGGTGTGATTAATTGGACAAAGAGATGTTCAAACCAAGAACTTGAGTATTATGCTGTGGTATTTTCCATTGGGTGATGTATCTAAGGCATTTGGGTATGTCAAAAGAACATCGAGATTTGGACAATTTTGGGTGGATTCCCATGAAACCAGATTTTGCCAGTGAATCGAATCATGTGCTGTGTGAATAGAGTGAGCTCAAAGGATTTGGGGTTTGCGGCGGATTCAGTGCGCCAACTCAATTCCCGGTGCAACAGTCATCGTCAATGGGCACACTCATTCGAAGGCCGACCCTGTTGAAGACATTTGGATTGGTCCAAAAGCATGCAGCAACTTCTATCCACTGATTCTCTTCACTGCAAACATCAACAACCGTTTGGTTCAATTTGATTGTGAGCCACTAGCACCCAATTCGTTGCTGTGAATTCCTGCGCAAGATGCGTAGCAAAAGGCCGGATGCATGCTTAGCAGAAGGTCAGAATTTGGTTAGACAAGGTTAACATCGAGGAGAAGGTTTGCGGTTTACACTTTGAGCTAAGTTGGGTGCTGGAAACAGACTGTTGTAGACATTCCACTGGTGTAGCTCCTGTCATTCTTGGTTTGCACTTCAACTAGTTCGCATCCCACCAAAAGCCAGGTCCGTTGTGGATGCACATGTCAAGTTGTGGATATATGTGGATGGGATGACCATGGTAGCGTTCATGCTTGAATGCACTTGCAACAGAAAGGTTGATATGTATGTCCCTGAAGTCCAGGACCATCCGAATCGAATCAAATGTCAAGGCCCCAGTTCGATCATTCTCTGGGAGTACATACTCACCCCCGTTCGACCATCCGAAGGACAGAGATACCTGGACCCCTTTGGACCCTAATATGGGGTTGATTGGACGACACTTGTCTCGCGGACAAGCATCTATCATCGTTATAGGGGAGCCAATGCGGGGACTCCTCAACTTCAGACTGTTTGGTGGATCCACCACACTGGTGGGTGAACCGGGGTGAGAACCACCGGTGAGAACCACGTGTGAGAACCACCGGTGGATGCGCCCCACGTGTGTTCGATTTGGAACATGTGGATGGGGGTCAGGATGGGCAAGGCCAGACGACCTCATGTGGACATCCGGACACAACCTGATGTGATGGCAAGATGCTGGCGATAGGTTTTCTCTTGGTTGGTCATTTGGTTCCTCCAAGAGAAAGTGATCATCTTTAACACTCCGACTCTCCCGGCATTTCCCGGAATGTCCGTTGAATGCTTAATGAAGAATCACCACAGGTAATTGGTTGAGACGGTGGACGCGTCGGAATGCGTCGCAATGCGTCGCACTGGGAGACCTCGCGGCTAGGAGGCTAGAGGCCAAATTTCCCGCAGGTAGCTTGTAGAAACAAGAGAGCCCGTTCTTGGCACTGGCTCATGCTCTAGAAAGCTTGCAATCGTTGCGAAGTTCTCCCCCCTCCAAAAACATAGATGCTGCTATAACTTTCTGATAGCCTAGCTCTCTACCTCTTCATGTTTTTGCAGGAGAGGCCTTTCGCAGGCGGCCCTTCAGCAGGCAGAGATGAGCTCGGATCGTCGGATCTTCAGGACATTTTTCACAGTGACATCGGAGTTGCTTGGGGTTTCACCAGAACCTGACGTTCAGAGAGTTTGTTGAAGAATTTCCGATCATTTCACGGATCCCCTTCATGTTCGAGGGCTATTGGTTCTCTTCTTGAATTACACTGAGACTGGCAGCTCAGTTTCACTGCGCTGGTCCAGATAGAATGATTGTGGTCCAGTTAATTCCAGTTATAGGGACCCCCAAATAGATAGAAAAGTAAAGCCCAACAAATTGTGTATTGGACACCGTTTCTATCTATTTGGAGACCATAGTTCTTTAAATGTGTTTGTTATGTTTTTTTTTGCAGCTCCAAAAGCCGTTTTCATCGACTTCTTGGTCATTTGCAGCTACGATCTTCAAGTTTGAAGAGAACCTTCCACATCCTTCCACAGTTTCCATCCATGTAGGGTAATACGAAGCGCATCAGTCCTTTTAGTACAAATGACCTTTGTGAAGGTTCTGACAGACCAGGAACCCAGGAACCTCGAATGCTTAAGCTGATCGATTCCACCCTAAGAAGTTCGGCTCTGTAACTGGGAGTCTGGGTCGAGTTTCGGAGGGTGAGAGTTGAGACCCCTGAGAGAAAAGTATTTATTTCGTGAGATTACCGGACCCGGAGTCACCAAGTCGGGATGGTTGGTTGTTGAATGCGTGGGATGTGACAGGGGCACCCTGACTTCCGGCCCTATCCTCACCACCGGAACGTGCCACGTGACTCCGAATTCCGGGACCCAGGGACCCCACTCGCGAGGATGTGGCCAGTGGCTTTTGGCTCGGGGGAATGACCATGGGGCGTTTTTTGCATGCCTCATCACGAAGAAAGCAACTTCGATTGCACCACTTGGTTCAAAAGCAGCTGTATACGTTCACATGACCCATGAAGAAAAGAACAACTGTATGGCGTTGACTTCATGGGAAGAACAGCAGACCACACAGAAGATGTAGCTGAAACATGGGTACTTTTGGAACCTTCTAGAGAGAACCTTCTAGAGTGAACCTTGTGAGAGAACCCAGTGAGAGAACCTTCTAGAGTACGCGCCAGCTTTCCCACCGAACGGCGCAGACTGGCCACCCGGATCCAACCATCCGCACACCATGGCACCGGTCACATGTGATCGGCCTCGCGTGCATCGTCGTGTGCTGCTGGCGGCCTGTCAACACGGGCGGGTCCACGTTCCGATGAATTGGTGACCTAGACGATGGAGGCCCAGACTAGAGGTGTCCAACTTACGGTGGTTTGATCACAGGTGCTTGGGTTGGAACCCTCTCATCTAGGATATCATCAAGGGTGAACTTGTGTTTGCACCCAAAGTTTAGTGCAACATGTGGTAACCAAGGCTTCGGTGAAATACATCGATCTCTTTGTAACCTGTAGATTGTTCGATTCATGTTCTGACATCAAGCGTCCCATGACAAGAGCAGGTGCATGGTTTTCTTCACCACTTCTGTGTTGCAACACAATTATACACAACCATCCACTGAATGGCTGGATGGCAAGCCAATGCTTGGAGGGTCTGCTTTTCATGTCTTTCAAGCTCTTCAAAGAAAAATCCATGGTGAAGATCCGTCCAAACATGGAAAGAACTGGATCACTTCCGAAAGAATCGGATGTGCTGATGCGCAGAGCCGCCCAGGTGGCTGTGCTGGGATCGCTGCTCCGCGGCCGGGGGCCTCAGGGACGGACGACCGAAGGCACCGAACCGGTGAAAAGAGCGCGGGAGTTGTGTGTTGTTTTAGCCTGCTCCTACTTAATTAATTAAGTATGAGGCGACTAGTTAGCCACTAAAAATTGGACGCAGGATAGTGCCAGCGAATCTTCAAGGAAGCTCCCCCCACCTGAGGGCGGGAGGGAGCTTCCTTGCAGAAGCGCTGGCACTTTTTGCTTTGGTTCCTAGATTTTGAGGGATCCTTTGACAATGAGCAGAACACAGGTCAGGTGGTGTTTTGTTTCATTCCACAGAGCCGACCAGGTCGGAAGCCGACTGGCGGGAGGCAGTGTGGATTTTTGTGGCCACGGCAATTGCGGCTGTAGCAGCTTTCGGGCCAACAACCCTCTATAGAGGAGACCTGTAGAATCGGGTGCCATGTTGGAGGAGACTTGTAGAGTCGGGTGCTGGTATAGGGGCTTAATCCATGTCGATCCCAGGTGAACATGTTTTTGTCCATCGATTGGCTGCCATGCCCAGGTCTTTCCTTCACCTTTTGGTCATCGGCGCTTGAAGGTGGCGGTTTGGGTTGCACACCCTTAGACTGCGTGCAGTCAGAAATATAGGGGTATTGATGGATATTTGACATGAGGATATGGTGGATGGCGGTGGTTGATGATGAGAAAGATGTCATGAGACAATCTTCAAGCTAGGAGATACAGGATTTTCACTGTTCTGAATAGGCCATGACTCTCCTCCAACAGGTCACCTCCATGACCTTACCATCCATTCGTATGCTGAGCAGATCAAAGGAACCTGAGAAAATCGACGAATATCGTATTGCCTATGCCTTAAATTGAGATACCGGGTGTCCACACAAATTGGAAGATCGATTCGATTGAACTATGTCCTCACTCACTCAGCTTATGCGACTCGCGGAAAAAAACAAACAGTAGAATCAATCCCAGCAAAAACTATGTGTTTTCTCTCAAAAGTGTCTAGGGAGTTCCGCTCTTTTTATTGGCATCATAAGAACTGAACATATAATGTATTGTGTTCGCTTCTTGCATCACCCGTGCGGTCACTGTGTCCAACATGGTCTCAAAATCAAATCAGCAGATGGACATGTCTGAGAGGAACCACACGTCCTATAGTCCCGTTTTGTAGGAAGGTCACACAATTCATTCAGTTCTTTCCAAACCTGGCGCCAGCTTCAGCATGCCAGCCATCCATGCCAGCTTCAGCATGACTCAATCAAGCCACGATTCCAACGGTAGCGGTGACTCATAGCGGTGCCACCCCAACTCGCTCGCCGGATCTAGCGACTCCCGACTCCCCGGATGAGTACTGTGCACTCGGATGAGGTTCTGCACCGGGTAGTTCGTTCATGTAGGTCTTCTGGGTCGTTGGAACCCCATTGGGAGCTAATTTATCTCCAAATGAGGAGCCTGATTTCTAATGCGGATCGTTTCGATCACCAAAGCTACTCCTGCAAACACATCCGACTGGCTCAACTCCGCACAAAATAGAACACCAAAAACAAGCAGGTTCACCGCATCCGATCTGCCTTTTGCACCGTTCCGCTGCAAACAAGACACGCAGGCACTCGGGCTGGACCGGCATCGGCGATCGCACGACGGGCCAGCAAGGACGTCGCAGTGACGGACTTTTGACGTGGGACGGATGTGATTTCTGTTGATGTTCGAAAGCAAAAATAATCGCGATGATATGTTTCCGTGCTATCCGTACTGTATGCTCTAAAAGGACATGGTTGCTTGAATGGATTATATGTACGGATTCGGTATACATTCATTATAAATACAACTGTTTATAGAGAATTATGCATGTGGTAAGAGGCACCTCTGTGGTCCACATGTTGCAATTATTTGTATAATATCAGAAACATGTCGGATATTTCTGACAACTGAACACTTTCAGATAGTTCAGCTAGGCTGTTTGAAGCATTTCAGAAGTCATTTTAGACATTTTGTCAGCCATCATTAGAAACATTTCAAACATGTCAATACAATTCAGATAGTTAAAACATTTCTGATATTTCAGATATTTGAGCCAAATCTCATTAGTTGTCTCAAAAAGGAATCGCTCGCCGGTAGGGACTGGCAGGCATCGACTGTGGATACGTACTTCTTTTCGTTGAAGGGTCGGGCTGAAAGCATTTATTTAGCAGTTTTTGTTGCAACTTCTGGAGCTCTTGGGTAGAACTGCTTGGGTGCTTTTACGGTCGGCCTCCGTAAAAGCGCGGGGAACGCGACGTGCGCGCTGTCATCGATTGGGCTCCTCCCATGACCGGTCGAATGGAGTTTTGGAACACGGCGTCCGTTCGAAGAGTGCGCCGATTCGAAGCATGGACGGCATTCCTGGAGGTTTGTGTGTTTGTTTTTGTCCAGAAGCATGTCCAGTTCATACTTTTGAGGTTTTCTCATCCGCAAAACTTTGTCAGTGACAAAACTTTGGTCAGTGACAGTGAGTCATGCAAAGAGACAAGAAACCAGAACATCTCAAATTCCACTCCGGGAGGTGTAACGATGTGTAACGGCGTAGCCATGTGTAGCCTGGTCAGCTCAGCTTCATCAACCCACCAAGTGTGGGGCATGGAAGACCCATCAATACCTCTTGGAAGACAGAGCAACTTCAGTGTTGGACACAGAGCAACTCTTCAACCGCAGGAGGAGTCGCAAGTCCTCAAGCTTTGCTCGGGCAGCTCAGGGGAAGTGGAGTCCTCTCCTCCTCCGCGCAGGAAGGTTCGATTTCTTGTTGGGTAGGTTTAGTCAGCTCACCACTTGGAAACTCCTGGCCTACAGATCCGGGCAGAGAACATTTGATTTGAAGTAGACCGATTTGGAAGTAGACGATCTAGTGATCTAGTTGTTCCTTCGCAGCACATCGAATCATGGCTGGAATGCAGGGTGTGACTAGGATGACTGACCAACAGAGCAGAACGGAGCACACGATTCGGAGTCCTGTGTTTTGTTGCTCTTGGGGAAGAAGGTGGCAACTTGTGTTTACCCTTCCCTGGATTATATAGATGGGAATAGCTGGCCGTAGCGGAGATGGGACTGATGTCTGTGAAACATTAATTTTGTGTACTCTAGAATCTGGACTCTGTGGGAACAAGAGGTTTCCGTGGAGCTACAGGAGGAACTCTCTCAGTAGGGCTAGGGCTTTCACGCATGCGCACCACAAGCCTCTCAATCACGAAAGGCATACAAAATCTCACCTTCACACTTCACACAAAAGCTTGTGTGAAGTGTGTGGATTGAGACTTCGAGCCCAGCTTTTGCGTTGTGGTTTTATAGGTTGGGTGTCCACCACACTCGGTCCTCTTGTGTGGCGTCAGCAGCCACAAATTCGACCAGACTGTGGTGTGGTTCGTCTCAATACACCACCCCAGACCTGAGACCTGCTCCTACTCACTCCATTTGTAATGTTAGGAATCCGAGAAGATTTGGAATTCCACATGAGTAAAAGATAGCCACAGACCCCACAAAGATTCTGCGTAGTCCGTCAAGCCCTCAAGTTCCAAACGCCAACAGTCCTGGTCCAAAGCTATTTCGATGGTCAAACCAACTAGAGAATCCATGAGAGCCCCCAGTACGAACTTCAGATAAACCCGGTAATATGTATTAAGTAAGGAAGGTTCCCAGAGGTTCAGAAATAGCTTGGCCACCGCTTGGTATTATGTTGCTTAACTTGGAGATGCTACCTTGTCGCGCTAGCAACATGCAAGGTTGCGCTAGGTCTGGCGCTAGGTTCAAAGACTTAGGTAAGATTAACAAACAACACATACACACATTGGCATGTCATGTTCTTGCTGAACTGGATCAGCCCCTGGATCACCAGTGGATCCTGTAAATATATCATATCAGAATATATCAGAGGCATCAAAGAGCGCTCCTTTTGCAGAGCCTTTCAAGATAAGACTGGTGGATCCTTTTGGTTCTTACCCACCCCGAAAGGGGGGCGCTGGAAGCAGGCATCCAGGCATCGCGTTCAGCATTGCACTGAAAATACTCCCCCAGACCCAAGCGTTGTATTGGAGGCCATTGCTACTAGGTTGGAGGTCATCATTTCTATTCAGTTGGAGGCCATCGCTATTAAAGGTTGGAGGCCATCGCTATTAAAGGTTTTAGGTTGAAAACATTTGGTCCTCCCTGAAGGACGAACATCGGCCACCCAGGTGATGAATACCCGCTGAACGATGCGGATATTGATGATCAAGAGGAGATGTGCCCGGTGAAGTGACGCATCACTCAGATGGTGAAAATGCATCAGTGTTTGGTGGTTTTTGGGAGGTTTTGGGGTTATACCGCAGTTATACCTGCAACCTGCAGCAGGGCAGGAGGGGGGCAGAAGCTTTCTAAGATGATCCAAAAAGAAGCCTAGCAATTATTCTGGTCCAGTGCCGTGTAGTGATGTGGCGAGGTGCCGCGTGCTGTTTGATTGGTGAGCTAGCTGAGCAATGAAAAACAAACGGATTCTGGAGCTAGGTGCTCCTAACTAGCTAATCTGAGTTGTGAGTTTGCCCATGTGCAACCCTTGCTTGAATGAATCCAGCACACCTCCGAGGGCCACCCTGCACCTACCTCCGAGGGCCATGGCATGCCATGGCAGTGTTCCCTCGTGCAACCGTGCGTGTAGGAAACCACAAACACCCGGTGTGTTGACTTTAAGTTTATATTGGGTGTGTCTTTCCTCGAGCACTTCTTGATCCTTCGCTTTGAATCCGTCGCAGATCTCTGGAGCAAACCGAGTGTTTGGGGCCACCAGGACCGGCTGTTTCGGTCCTCTCATCCCCCTGACTTCTGACGTCGGTTTTGTGATCTTTGGTCCGAGACTCGGCGAAAAGAACACCACACGGGACGGTTTCATATATATGGTTGATATGTTGCGATAGTTCAAAAGTTCAACATATGTCAATGTCAACTCCCCAATCCGAATGAGGTTGTTTAATCCAAATGAGCTATGGCTATGCATTTAAAAGTAGACATTCCGACTCCAAACCGTTCCGAGGAGATGATGACGGCGGTGAAGAAGCTTCCCGAGGCTCCGGACGACTGCTATCAGTTCGGAGCCCTGGTTGGAGGCTGTTTGGGCAGTTTGCTGGTTCAAGCGAAGTGGAGGTTTCCACGTAAAGCAACTGCTGTTTCTTTCTGTTTAGGGTGGTCGGCCATCGCTACTAGCTTGGATGGTATTGGTGTTGGATGGTATCCGAACGAAAGTGAGGGATCAGTCATCCGAGTCGGCCCGCCTTGATCAGCTGAGTTTGGCGGCCGACCGTCGAAGATGTTCCGCACGAGATCCGGTACACTCCATGTATGTATTTGATTACTGTATTTTTTTTGCCTACACCTAACTACCTAGCTGTTTATTCTTGTTCAGGGGTCAATATTATACAGGCATGATATATTGTTCTGAGTGGTGCTCCGGGATATTTGAATGTTTAACCTTGGGATGATTGATTGAACCCACTATGAGTTGAAACCACCAACCCATGAGTTCCCCATGGCGTTGCTCACAGCATGTCACGGTCACCGGTCTCTCCGACACCCTGAGGCTCTTTTTGGGCGACTGGAAGGTCGAATGGAGCCGCCAGACTCAGGTAGAACGTTTGAGAGAGCGTGAGGATCGGAGAGAGCGTGAGGGGTGGCGTGTGATCCGGACATGGAAAAGTAACTAAGAAATAGATTACGTTTTTCTCCCAGGTGTGCATGAGTGTTTCCGCAACATCTTCAAACTCCAATTTTCTGGTATCCTCCCTTTTCCAACACCAGTGTGGCTACTCATTTTATGGTAGACTGCTACACATCTTAAGGGTGTCCGTGCGCCTTTGTTCTTTGTTTGCCGATTCTGTCCCGCACGGCATCTTCAGGGTATGACCACACGGCATCTTCAGGGAAGTTGACCACCACAGATGGCAATCCACCAGACATGGCATCCCCAGTTGGAGGATGTTTGCTTCTCACCTTCATCGACTGGGGCCACTGGGGGCCGTTGGGGTAGACAACCGCCCAACGACTCATCGATCTGGATCGTCTCAAGTTGTTCGACTGAGACCTGGCACGATCCTTGACCTCATCTTGGATGAAGACGGTGAAAAGAAGACTAAAGTACCAACAGCGGTTAAACAGCCACAATTGCCCTCATGATGCTTTGAACTCGAAGTACATCTTCGTTGTTCACATCTCTCCACGGTCCACCTCCCTGCCGCCCCGCCGGCGTTTCAGATGCTTTGAGGCTCCATGGGGGGCAAGGCGGCCAAGAAGAAACCGGACCCCAATGGGCCACCACAGACTCTGGGACGATGGCTATCGGCGCTGAATTGTTTTGGGTCGGCACTGATGATAAGGGCATGTTGTTAGTGTGTGTGTGTATATCATTGTGTATCAATGTGTATCGTATTTCTTAATTGACTTGTACTTAGTTGTGCTAAGCAAATATGTTTTTTGCATTTGTTTCAGCACTTGGCACTCGTATCTTGGAATTCTTCCGCATCAGACCGCTGCACCGCATTGCATGGAGTAAAGCATCCTGGTCACGACAATCAAAGCCCCCTTTAGTTCTTACTCACTAGGTGGTCAATGACGAGTGGGTAAGGGTTCCGGACCAACTTCAATTCGATTCCATGGTTCGCCGGAGAGTGGTGGAGAACAGAACCATTGTCGCGATTCGCAGGGTTTGGCTGCACCTTTGAGAAGGTCCACAAATACATACAGATATCCCAGAGACATACATTTGCGCGGGTACCCCCTACACCTATCAGGTGGGCTTACGGCTGGGATAGGGCCTATCCTTGGGCCTTTCGATACAGCCAAGCCACAAAGGGCGCCCACCCAGCAGTGACCCAGGTGACCCATGGCGCATTCCATTTGGACAAAGTGCCACTTGAGTTGCCGAAACACGGCGTTTGTGTTTTTTGATCGGTGCCTGGCACTCTCTCACACCGAGTACCTGGCAGTTTTGTTGCATGTTTTGAAGTATGAATGAGTCTATCGTCACATAAATCCTCGCCCAAGCAGTCATTCAAAAGGGGAGCTGACCATTGGAGGCCTCAAATCCCCCGATCAATGTCTCGACTCTTTTGGAGTCTTTGGGGCCTGCGCTCTTCGCCTGCGCTCTCTGCGGGTGCTGCGCACTCCTGCGCATCGGAGCCGCGTGCGGGTCAACCGAAGTTTGCCAATCACTCTGAGGAGATTGAATTTTGTCTCCTTCATGGTGCGGATTCCCGGAGAACATGTTTGTTGGATATTATATCATTTATGTAACTTCCTGGTGGTGGATGATGCTGGCTCAGCTTAGACCGGGCATGACTGAGAACATGGTCAGATCCAGGCTCATTGCACCGAACTGCACTTTCCAGCCATGGCGTGCATAGCATTTGTTTGTTTAATTACAGAAGTTGTCAGCCAAATAGGTCATCATGGCTGCCAGATTGCAAAGTAGATTGAAACAGAAGCAACCCAAAGAACATCAATCCATTCAAACATTGGTTTTCAGTAGTGTGCTTGGTGTTCGAGACTGCCATTGTGCCGGTCAACTCAGTTGAGGCGTTGCCACCTGTGGATGTGGAGCATCTTGGCTTTTGGTATGGTCATTGGCGCACCATTTGGATCTCTCGTTTTGACTACACGATGGGGCACAGGCAGTGATCTCGATGTTTGCGTTCACCAATAACCTAGCCGTTGACTGATCGTGAATACCGTTGCAACATATAAGTTGAACTTTCCATGGAGGAGATCGATTGATCTGATGAAACAATTTGTCAGTTTTTTTCAACCTTTTCAAACAGAACCCCTTGGTGAGGATGTTTGAACAGTTTGACACCAGGAACCCCATTCCAAACCATAGGTGTTGCATGCATCAGACCATTTTCACTAACGTGTGTGGTGTTTGGACACCCACCCAAACTCCCACACATGACATGCAATGACACGCATGACACGGACATTGTTATGAATCAGACGTGTTCGGCCAAAGGTTCAAATATGTTCAAAGTATCTTAAACACATATGCAGTATGTTCATCTACATGAACCAAAACAATGTCAATGTCATCGAGTCTGTATTGGAAAGATACAGGCGACACAAGGGTGTTCACTAGGCTCCCCTTAGGTGAAGTAGAAATCTGGGTTTCCCTTCATTCCCACACGCGTTTGCATGAACGACAGCAGAACTTACATTTTTGTGCAGGGATGTGCATGGGAGGGTTCGTTCGATTCAGTGATTCCTCTAGTTCGGTTTGCGTGACAACCACAAAGATTACAAGTGGGCTGTAGGACCTTTCACTAGTAACAAGAAGCTACTAGCGGCTCCTGGCCTTCCTACTAGGAGCAAGGACGCTACTAGGGCATCCTGGCATTTCTACTAGTAGCAGTCTCGCATTGAGGTTCACCGGTTCATTCAACCGCGTCAGCGGCGATGGTGAAGGGGGAACCTATCAGCTGCTTCAGACGTTTACCATGCGCCCTGGTGAAGCTGGGGTGAGGGGTCAAGCTGGGATGGCCAAGCTGGGTGTTGGGTTCGACGATGTTTTGAGGGGAAGCAATGCTCGTTGAGAGTAGCGGTTCGGAGAAAAAACGCATCCGAAGCCGATCCTGTGGCCGTCTTGTAGCCGATACGGTTCGTAGCTCCAGGGCCAAGAGGTTACGTCCTCCCATGGGTGGATATTTAGTAGGAAGACCCTCAACCAATGTTCTGTTTCTCTTCTTCCAGGTGGTTTTTGAGAGGCCTCGAAATTTCAATACACACCCAAATGGTGTTACACTTAGTGACTTAGTGTAAACAAGTGGATAGGCAGGAAGTTGGGTCCACGTCAGGCTTTCTGATTTCTGGTTGGCTTACACCACTAGCCAGCCGCTAGCAGCCAAGAGCAGGAACCAACAGGTGCGACCTGAAGGCTTTATTGGATGGAAAAACACATTTTGTCTCTGCAATACTCACCATGCTGTTCTGTCACTGAATGTCACAGCCGACTGGCTTGCCATCTTCAGCGACATATCAAATGTAGACCTCTACAGTTCCTTATAAATTCAAGATACAGTGATACAGTGGTCAAGACTCAGTCAAGTTTTGCTTGCGTCATGTGTAGCAACGTGTTACCCAAAAAAAACAGAGCACTACAGTCCGAGCTCTCGGTTTCTCACAAAGATACTCAAGAGCGTCAAGTGATACAGAGAGCCGTGCTTTCCAATCGATTTCTTTTGGGTGGTCACAGGCAGCTTTACAGGGAAATTGTTCAAAGTCCTTGAATCAACCAAGCCTGATACACCTGATGATGACACTGCCTCTTTGACCAGCAATATCAATAAACTCTAATAGTTTTATAAGTAGGTGTTAATGTGGTCTATATAGATATATGATGATATATGATAGAAATATGATGATATGATATGATATGTAAGAAATATGCGTTTTTCTTCAGACATGTTGTGTTGTTGTTCTCCGTACGGTAAGTCTGTCCGCCTTCCCCCGGTCTCTCGACCGTCCGGTCCGGTCTGGGCGGTCGACCGTCCCACCCGAGACCCGACAACGACGGGGTCGAAGCGGCCATGGTCTTGGAGGGCGAATGGAGCTGCTGGGACGAACAATTCCATTGTGAGCAGCGGTCAACAAGTTCCCAAGTCACAAACTCGCTCATGTATATAAAGGTTTTGAGCATCTGAGCATCGCTCATGTTCCATGTTGTTGTTAGTTAATCTATATGATGTCAGAACTCACGATCCCAGCCGCGACTGGATGTGCTTTGGGCACAGTGAGTAGACCTTCCAAGAACCATGGAACTTCAAGGAACGCTAGGTATGTGATTGGTGGGTTGGAACAAGTACATATATATATATAATATATATATATACATATAACTTGACTACACTTTCCTGCACATCTGGCGGTCACACCCGGTTTTGGGGGTTGGGTCCGACGAGTTCGGTATTCGGAGGACCTGTTGACGACCGAGCCAGACCGAGCCGAGCCTGGAGGACCGGTGGACCGGTGCATCGGATGCACGGTGCAGGTTCCACTTTCAAGTCTGATCCTTTCAGTTGAACGGCAGTGTATGTTTGTCTCAACGCTCTTCCGGAGTCTGGAGACTCCCATCGTCGTAACCCAAATTCTTTCATGCACGCTGCAAGGGTCTTCAGGCCTCCCGCCTTGTTCCTTGGGAAACTAAGAGGTGAGAATACCTTTCAGTATCAGAGTGATGAAGCACAATCGTTTGATGGGAATTGTTGGAATCCAACTTTCAAGGCTCAGAATCCTTGGAATTGTGTTGCGGAAATCGCTGAAACGCTTCTTGGGCACCTCAACGAAATCGTTGATTCCACCTAGTCCTATAGTACTGGCCGGGTGAAAAACCTTTTCTGCTATACATACTCTACAGTGCATTTTGAACATTTTGTGTATAAATAGGGTCGCCATCCATGCCTCGCTGCCAGCCAGACTGTTGAATGAGAACGAGTGCACCATACAGGCCAGGGCACTCAAACCCAACAACTATACACATAGTACCCATGATAAGGCCCCGGAACGGTGAAGCTTCATCGTCGCGCAGCGCTTCGCTTCGCCTTGCTTCGCTGCACCGAGGCACGGGTTCATCGAGTGGTCCATGGGGTGAAGGCGCTCCACGCAAGCGCGCCGGGAGGCCCCAAATGGCTGGGACGTGATCCACGGCTCTGAAGGGAAAAAGCGGATCATGTCAACCAGGTCCTGAGACAAATGTTCATCATCAAATCCGCCCACACCGAAGGTGCCGAGACCGAGATAGACAGATCGAAACGGCCAGACCGAGACCGAGACAGATCCGTGTGTCCTGCCCGACCGATACAGACGGATTGACAGACCGAGACCAGGCACCGAGACAGACAGACTGAGACACGCTTGAGCCCGGTTAGCATGTCCTCCTTGCACTGAGAGCACAAGTTGCTAGTAGCGCAGATGGCTGCCGAGCCGGTAGGGTGATAATGACACACTTGTCCCATGTTTGTTTGTACATGAATGGATGTCTATGTCTGTATGTGTGCGTGTATGTTTTCCCTTTGTTCCCTTTACTCTGTGCGGGCGGCTTCGACCGCGAAGCGGTGTGAATATACAAGATAATATTACCTCCTTTTCGCGTCCAGGTTAACTCCGAACTTTGGTCTAATGGAGGTTTTCCAGAGAATGGCCGAACTGGGGGCGCATGTTGACAGTAAGACCAGAGGAAGACTTGGCACTTGAGAAGTGTACAGATGATATCAGCTCTCAGGGGTGGTGGAATGCAGGCGCCCACAAGATCTGCAGCACTGTCGATTTTTTTGGAAACTGTGCCATGTTAGGTAACCCCTCGTATTCTGTGGGTTGGTGTCATGCCTCACCTGATTTCACTGAGCCTCCTCACGTTCGGAAACACTCCAAAGACCGTCGGGATTTCCCAGAACGAACGTAGACTCTTTTGCAAACCAACGGCTGATAGGAATCAGGGGGCATCGTGCTGCTACGTGGTACGGCTGGTAAGATGTTTGAGTTTCAATTTTTTTTTTCTGCATCATTTGCCACTCTTGGAATCCGTTCCCAAGAAGCCTTCCAGCTAGAACAAAAACATGAAGATGCAGCAATCAAATCGGAAAGCAGCTGAATCAGGGAACCATCCGTGTCCAACTTATCCAAGGTCCAAGAATCGTGTGGCTAGGAATCGATGAGGTCTCTCAGTCTCTCAATCAGATGGGTGTTGCTTCTCAGTGCATTCTTGGCGGAGGAGTTGTCAAAACCATCAAAAACCCAAAAAACACACCCGCTTCAAGGAAACCCGAGTCTTCCGCGAGAACTGCCAAGCACCCTTAAAGACTTGGAACAAATTTGTGAGTTATTTTTTGTTCATGTCCGACATGTCCCCTGTTTGGTCGACGAATAGGCCCCGGGCCATTGTCCGACACCGACGCTGCTGAGGTACCAACGGAATTTAAGACGGTCCGACTGGTGCCCTCCGCCAGCGACACCGAGAAGAGTGTCTCAGCGACAGACTGGTGCCGATGCACAGTTCCAGGTTGAAAAAACGGATGCAGAGAAAACCTGCAATATATTTCACGTATGTCTTGTATGAACTATATGTATATAACATATATAGACACCTGGAAACCCAAACAACCAGAAACAAATGGATGTTCCCAAAGCAGCCACTTGGTAAAGCATCTCAAGCTGGCGCCATATTGGGTTCCAACCAGGTATATATAGAATACACTAATTGTAGAGCCCGAGAGGATGAGAATTGAGGACTTTGGAGTCCCAACAGTCCAACGGTCAGATGAGACGTGATGACAACAGATGTATCAGATGTATTACGTCATTCATGTCTAGAGCCTGTCAAGCCATGTATTCCATCAAACCAGTGGTACTAATGGTAAATCTTGCACTCTCACTCATGAGTGTTCTTCTCGTTCTCGCACGATTTTTGGATGGTGTCAATTCAGATCAATCATTTAGTTCCAAACTGCAAATGTTCAGATCACTTCAGGAATTTTATTCCCCAGGCAGAGTCTCCCGTTGGTCCACCGGGTATGATTCGACGGCTCGTCAGGCAAAGAGATGCTTGAGAAGGCTGGCCTAGGCCGAGCCTGTCCGAATTGGTTGTCGCGTGGGATGCCACACACATGAGGTGGTTTGCATTCCAGGAAAGAATGCCGACCATTTCATCAAAGTGAGTCACACCCTACACCCTAAAGGGAGGGTGACATAGTAGCTGCTTCCAGTGCATGAAACGTACATACAACTACCAGAATTTACGGTTCTAACATCGTGCTAGTGGGTGAATCTGTCATGAGGACTTCACTCGTGAGAGCTTCTCGAAATCTTAAGCCTTTTGAGGCAGAAACAAACAGAAGAAATTGACCACGGTAATTCAGTTCTATCCGGGATGGGGATGTCCCCCACACTGCCCATCATGTGACCCGTCATCGACACCACCGCGACCGGATCACATGTTTTTGAGAATCAATCCAGCTTGTGTTTAGTATTCCGGGGCCATATCGCTAGTAGGTTGGAGGCCATTGCTAGAGAGTTTCTTCGCCCGGTTGACCTTTTTTGGGGACCACTGAATTAGCAAGGTGGGAACAGGATCAATATTAACTATAGAGGGAGCTCGTTTCGAGGCTCCGAGACACAAAGACTGGATGTATACGTGACTGAAAGGATTTGAACACATTCCACTTTCCATGCGCACAGTGCAACGAAGCGCAGCCATGAGTGGAACTTCTCCCAATTCCCCCATCTCTTCGACTCTGAAGAGGTCCAGTCGGAGCATGGCTGGGTCCCAGATGAGCGAATTGAGCCTCCAAGTTGGACGATGAGCCTCCAGGGCTTCAAGTTCCGTACGCCATGGGCTCCTTAGAAAGACCATCCGACTGTCGAATGTGTTTCACTTATTGATGGAATGCTCAGACCATGAACTGACAGCTTGATTTCCACAGGCCCTTCAACTCACTAGTTTACGATAGTTTACGTACTTGTACTTATTCAGAGACCTATCCCAGACATCCCATGGGACTGGCACCTGACCTTCACCCCCTTTTCCACCACCCTGTTTGGCATTCAAACTCTTCCATGTTTGGGTCCACCCCCAGAGCCCAACAACTCGGCAGAACTCCATCCGTCTGGCCCCCTTCCGACTTCTCTTCCCTCCGTCGCAGGGAAGTTCTTCGAGCGGACGCCTGTGAAGGCTCGAGCCACCTACATCGATCTCAAGCAGATCAGCCACTCGGCACCTCCAAAGGGTGGAGACCGACGGAAACCGACGAAGACCGTGGAGCTTGGGCGACACTGGTCTTTCTCTTTTGGGACACATGGTGGACACGGGGACTGGGACGCGTGGGACGGACTATTTGAGGGGTTGGTTGCTTTGGAGGTTTTTTGGGACCGTCAGTGGATGTAGGAGCAAGAGTGATGTGTTTGGAGTATGTTGGAGTAATGGTCGGTGGTAATAAGAGTCCTCATGCTCTTGTTTTCCAACAAACACATATCATATAGATGACAATGATAATATATATATATATTATATAGACTAGAATATATACGGCTCAAGGCTCAAGCCGTTTTAGCCTCAAGCCCGGGTATAGTACTCGGGAGAGCTCGACGGCACGATCGCCTACTTCCTTGTACCCCTCTTCGGCCTGATCGGAAAGGGCAAGGTGACCCATGACTACTGGCGGCAAATGGTGCAGAGCTTATCAAGTATGCGGCGGTGGAGGATGCTTCAACTGGATCTGGTCGGACAAGGTGAGGGAAGGCTTTGTCTGCCGGAAGTGTGGCGAGCAATGGCCCCGACCACCTCAGGGGTTCTCGAAGGCTCCGCCATCCCGCTCACCTCAGAGGGGGCCCCGACAGCAGCTCCCAGTGACGCCCCCCGCCGGGCTTGAATGGCAAGGCGCCCAAGATGACCAAGCTCCAGAAAGCCACGGCTGAGGCACTGGCCCCTACTTGGACCACTTTAGACCCAGCTTTGCAACAGAAGCTTCAGGCTTTGGGGATATCGCCACCCCCTCCTTCTCCGGGGCCGGACTTGAAGGACATCCTCATGGAGAATTTGGCTCAACTCCCCTCCAATGCGAGGGAAATTGTGGAGAAGCTGACTAAGCCATCCCCGCCCACTGAGAAGGATGTGGCCTCCAAGCTCAAGACCCATGTATCCATGCTGAAGGATCTCTCGCACAAGAAGAACACACTTCAGCAGAGGATTGACTCGACCAAGAAGGCGTACCAGGATCTTCTGGATGAAATGAAGGCCATCCAGGGCCGCATCGAGTCTGAGCAGCGCTCTCTCCAGGACACAAGCACCTCGTACATGAATTTGGTCAACTCAGCAAAGCCTGACCTTGCAGGCCTGCCTGAGGCAGGGGGTGCGGACCCAGTCCCAGCGGCCGTTGCTGGATTCATCAACACCCTTGGTGTCAGTTTGACGGAGGATCAACAGCTTCAGCTTCAAAACATGCTAAAACGGCCGCCAGCTGAAACTGATGAGGAAGCCAAGAGACGACGCACCGAGGGCACGGATCAGTCTTGCGGGTAACACCGCCCATTTACTTCATTCATCCATGACCTTTTCTCAGGGGCTTCTGACATGTCCTTTGCAGCATGTCCCTTTTTCTCTTTCTGATTGTGGGGTTTGGCACAATCAATCCACTACACCTTTGCAATCTTCAGGCTCAAATTTGGGCTCTCCGCGGGGCTTGGAGAGCTATGGGCCGCAGCGCAGGAGGCCTCCTCTGAAGGTTTTGGGAGGAGGCCCTGCGCCCTTTTTGGCCACAGAGCCAGGCATCACGGGGGAGGCACCGAGCTCCTCTACCTCAGAGCGGCCTCTCACGAGGTCCGCTTCTTTCGGGACCTCCTCAGTGGCGCCTTTGGCTCGGGTTTTGACTCAGGCTATGGCGGGTGAGAACACTTCTCGCCTAACGGATGGGCAGATCTTCCTCTATGATCTGTGCCAAGAAGACCTTCTTTCCTCATGCAGAAAGTACAGAGAGACCATCAGCCTCCGACATGGTCAACAACTCCTGGCTGACCTCAAGCGCATGCAGAATATCATACACAGACACCTCAGCCTCCCAGGAGACACCAAGCCGCCCATGGCCAATGTCTTCGTGGTGTCCCAGGTCCTGACCTCCATCCTGCTCAACCCGGATGGGCAGAACCTTTGTTTTGGCAATGCACCCTTCAGGTGTTGGTGTTGGGCTGGGGCTTTTGCCGACGATGCGGCCAGAGCGTGGGGCCACACTCACCTGGCCGTAAGGTCCTATTTGTCCGAGCCGGAACCTCAACTCCTGCCGCATCTACCACACCTGGAACCGATTTGGAATCGTTTCCGCCCGGGAGGGCAGGCCGATGCTGCGGACTTCCTGGGCTTTCTCTGGCGCTTCGCAGGCTCTAATTTCTTCCAAGGGAAGTTCTTCCATAGAACGGAATTGGGCCGCACAGAGGTTCGTGAGCAGATGCCATTGAACCTGCTGTTCCCTCCACGACACTCCCCGACCTCGCTTGACGAGCTTGTCAATGCGTGGAGTGACGAAGGAGGAGGACAGTTCTTGTACGGCTCACCGGACGCCCTGGTCCTCCAGTTGCAGCGTTTCCAACGTGTTGATGGCACCTGGACCAAGCACTCCAGTGAACTTGACATTGGACACGACATCAACCTGCCCTTTTCAGATGATGGACAGAATGTGCACTATGGGGCCTACAGAATCGTTGGCTTGGTTCTCCATCAAGGTGAGGACCACCTCACCGGTCACTACCAATCCATCCTTCTTATGGACAACATCATTTGGCTTGCCGATGATGGGGACTTTCCTTCACCCTTGGCGGAGCTGACTGCGCAACAGCGCAGGGAGATCCTGCAGGTGTGGTTGGTCAAGGAACCGGAGGATGAGCTTGTCCCGGACACCCAGGCTGAGATGGAGGCTCCGCTCACAAAAAGGCAAAAGAACAATCACGAGACCCTCACCTTGCTCTTTGGCAATGTCACGTACTTTGGAGCCAAGGTGCAAGATTGGACCTGGGCCCACGGCGATGCCCTCCTTTTTCTTCATGAAACACACCTTGGAGAAGAAGGAACCTCCAGGGCCATCCAGTACTACTCCAACAGGGGATGGAAAGCGTATGGCCTGGCGGCCCACCCCACTGGTCAGGGAGGCACCACTGAAGGCTTTCTGACTTTGCATTCCACAAGGCATCTCACTCATCAAGGGCCCTCTTTCACCCATGAAGGCAATGGGTGGATGGCTGTGGGACTTCAACAGCAAGGGATGATGATCTACCTCATCCAGATTTATCTCAAGACCGGTGAGACTTTGCAGTCAGCAGCCAACTCCCTCATCTTGAGCAAGCTTCTGGCCTTCTTGCACCACTTGCAGGCTCCCTTCATTATTGGAGGTGACTGGCAAAACGAGCCGGAAGCTTTGGCCTCCACGGTCATCCAAAGCAAGTTCCGGGCCACCATCATGGACACTCAAGGCAACACGACTTTGCAAGGCAGTCAATTGGACTATTTGATGGTGGCCAACTCCCTCGTGGGCTCCATTCACCTCCAGGCTTTCTGGGAAGTGCCTTGGCGGCCTCATTGTGCCCTGGAACTCAAATTGAACTGTGTGCAGCCGGCTCAGCCAGTTCAACAACTGCAGCGATTCCCTCCCATTGGTCGCACTTTCCAGCTTCCACACCTATGGACCAGTTTCTCGGAGGACAATGGTCCTTTCCACATCATGGACGATCTCATCACGGGGCTGGGCTCTGATTTTGCTCGCTGGGCCACGCGCCCTTGGTTGATACCACTACCTCCAAGAAATGGCTCAGGGGAGCGGCAGCTTTCTGGGAAAAGCTCAATGTTCGCATCAACGTTGCACACCACATGGGGCACAAGTCCATCATTGAGGACATCCGGCATATGCTTCTGGATCTCCAGCACTACTGCTCTGAGGATTTCCAGGCTGACGTTTTCCGGGCTTTGCTCACTCAATGGTTGGACACGCCCTCACAAGACCCTTCGGAGTTAAGGGCTTTGATCTTGGAACAAGAGCAACATGCGCAGCAACAGGCATTGCAATCCACCAGCATTGAGTTTCAAGAGTGGCTGGCCAAAGCTCACCAAAAGGGTTTGCGAGGACTTTTCCGCAGCCTTCGACAGCGAGATCAAGCTTGGCAACGCCCCTTTCAAGATCTTCCTGCCCTAGAACGCATCACCGCCAGGGAACAACAGTGGGGAGACATATGGGAACCTGTGGCAGCACCGGTGGATCTACGTGGATTTGATCAGCTGCGACAATTGGCTCAGCAAGAAGCACTCACTTGGAAACCGATTGATTCCTCCCTTCTGCAGAAGCTCCTCCGACGCCTTCCCAACAAGGCAGCGGGACCTGATGGCATCTCCTACGACATGTTGAGGCATCTTCCGTACCCGGCTGTGGCCCGCCTGGCAAGCCTTCTCACTGAGATGGAACGAGAGGCTCTTTTGCCCATCCAGATGCGCTACACCAACATTGTGCTCATCCCAAAGAGCTGCAAAGTCGAACGGCCCATTGCCTTGACCTCCTGCTTGTACCGTGTTTGGAACTCCTACAGGAAGTATGACATCCACAAGTGGCAGCTGACCCTGGATGAGGCCCTGCCCTGGGACCAAGCTCGGCCTCACCGTGATTGCTTGTCCATCGCAGTGGGGAGGATGCTCAAAGCAGAGATCCGGAAACACCAAGGAATCCATACGGTCACCTGCCTGGCGGACCTTTCCTGTTTCTACGACACGGTCAACTTGGATCACATCATTGAGCCTGCTGCGGCCTTGAACTACCCTCCGGTTCACCTCAAGTTGGCCCTGGATCTCTATCGGGGGCCCAGGCTCCTGCAGGCTGAAGGGATTGCTGGAAATCCTACTCATTATGCCAAGGGCATTCTTCAGGGCTGTCCGCAGGCACCGGCCATCAGCAAGCTCATTCTCTACCGGCCGCTTCAAGCTTTGCAGCGGGAACATCCGGCTGTGGCCCTTCAGACATGGGTGGATGATGTCTCCTTTGACATCTGCGGCTCAGATCCTGACTATGTCGCACGAGAGGCAGTCTTGGCATACCGCACCTTGAGGGAGCACCTCACTCAGGCTGGATTGAAAGTCAACACGGATAAGACTGGGCTCATCTCCAGCAGCAAAGAGACAGCCAAGGCCCTTCAGATTCTGGTGACTGATCAAGACCCTCAGCACTACAATGTCCTCAGGGATTTGGGAGTGGATGCCACTGCTGGACGCCACCGACGGGTTGCACAGGTCAAGAAGCGATTCCTCAAAGGGCGAGGGAGGGCTGGCATTCTCTTCCGCCTCAAGCTGCAGAGGAACATCCGTTTCAGGCTTCACAAGAGCGCCATCCATCCTGTGATGTCTTGGGGGGCTCAGGCCAACGGTTTGGCTCCACAGAGAAGGCAATACATCAGGGTCACTGCAGCCAGGAGCCTCCAACTTCAGCGTTCTGGCTCCGTTGACATTGTGTATGACATGAACCAGCAACACCCTGATCCAGGAGATTCCATCATCGAACAGCATCTGCATTCGGTCTGGAGAATCTACCACTCCTTTGATGAAAGCACTCAGCACCTTTTCTGGACCAGCTGGAACGTGGCCCTGGGCGCTCTTCAGAAAGTCCGATACCGGTGGCAGGTTGTCAACGGCCCGCTTCAGGCCCTACAAGCCTACCTGCTCGACTACGACTTCGATTTGTCAGATGGGCAAGTGTGGAAGCGCACCGGTTATGGTGGTATCCCGGACTGCCACCTCAGCTTGACCGACTGTTGGCCCATTTTGCAGTTCAAGCTTCGTGAAGAATTTCGCTGGCAACGCCTCCTCCGCATCACAAGGTACGAGGGTTGCCATGACTTGGAGAGGGTCTTGGATTGGCAAGTCAGTCTGACTTTGCAGAAGATGTCGGGCGACACTCTTGGCCCGGGCCTTCGAGCCCTCCATCAGGGAACCCTTCACGGGCAAGAGGGTCGTTGCCCCTTGTGTGGGGACGAGCTCACCTTCATCCACCTCCTCTGGCAGTGCAGCTTTTGGCAAGGCAAAGCCAAAGACCTTCCTGATCAGTGGAAGGAGCGCTTGGCAGCGGGCACCGAACCTGAGCTTTGGCAGCGGGGTCTCGTCCAGTCCATCTTCTACATCCAAGAGGGTGGCTTGGGCACTTTCCAAGTTGATGGTCTCTGGACGCCGGATGAGGCCTTTGACATCCCCAATGGCCACGCTGTGTCTCTGGCGGTGGCTCCCACTTGCAAAGATGTCCGCCACAAGAGGTTTGTCTTTGTGATCTGTCTCCACCATGTCTTCACCCGCAAGCTTGTCGCCACCTTCAAGGGCGTCTGTCCGGGGCAGGCTACCAGGAGCAGGGCTGTGTTCTATGCTTTGAAACATTTGGCACTCCACAGCAAGGAGAAGCTCACCATAGCCATCTATGACCATGCTGTTTGGCGGGCCTGGCAGATGTCTCGAGCCTATGAATGCTTTCCGGACCTTTTTGAGGGCCTGGAGGCGGATGACTTCACCCAAGTTCGGCCCTTGCTATTTGGGAAGCAAGAACTTGACCCCAACGCTGCACGGCATTTCTTCCAGAAAGAGGCTGAGAAAGAAGCCAGGAAGTTCGCCAAGGCCTCCCGGAATGAAGACATTCTGGACTTGCAAAAGAGCATTGACGAGGACACCAGGGACATCTTGTGTGTGGCCGCGGGCCGGATGAACACCCTCCTCAAGGACAAGTCCCACTTCTTGCACAAAGGAGATCAGCAGCAAAAGTCTCAGAAGGTTCCCCTGATTGCACAAAAGAAGGAGCTCCTTCAACAGTTGCTTCAACGGCCGGACGCAGGTGGGCATTCTTGGCGGGCTTTCCGCTCTGGCGCTCAGTGCTCCCAGTGCAAGCAGAGGCTCCACTCGAAAAGCTTGGTCGGTGATCTCAAAGGCGCCCTGGCTTCCACCTGTCAGATGGCCACCCCCAAGACTCCCACCAGGCGCACTCGTTTTGAGGTGATCAATGATCTCATAGCTGCCCAGACTGGTGTGCAGAGAGGAGTTCACCACTTGCGACTTGAGAAAGCATACCTGCGTTGCTCCGAGTGTCATGACTACATACTTGCAAGGTGTCGCGAGGACGCTTTCTGCACCTTCGTTGGTGCACCGTGCAAGGTGGGACCTTTGGAGCCCTCGCTGTGGGAAGGGCACCCTTCACACACTATGGAGAGAAGGGGAAAGATGGCCACATGCACCCGCTGTGGTGGGAAGGCCAGGTTTGTGGAGGACAAGCTCGAACTCACAGAGCGCCTCCGAAAGCGTTGTGTTGCCCTGCAATCAAAGGATTTGCGGGCGTGGTTCACATGAGCACTCTAGCACAGAAAAGGCGTGCAAAAAAAAACTAGAATATATACTATGTTTGATTATGTTTTATTTTCACAAGCTTTGCAGAGGATTTTGGAGCGGTTTGTTTTGGATGTTTTGTTGTGACCCGCCAGTGGTAAGTTCGATCGGAATCCGATCGGTGTTTTAGCCCCCTTCCTTTTGCGGCGCAACCCAGATCCCTCGGCATGTGACGGAAAAGGAAGCTTTCACACGGATGAGTTGTTTGGACGTTCCTTCTTGGACCTCTTCAGGAACATGTATACCAGGACCATCCTGTTTGAGTCTTGGTGTTGACATCCTTCAAGATTGCACACTGTGATTCTGATGATCGAGATAGGAAGTCACCAATCAGATCCATGTACTCCCACGTAGGGTATTAAATTCCGGAGAATGTATCCTTCCATAATTTGGGGCTAGAGTTAAGTACAGTACACTGGTCTCAGAGGCTCGATGGCACGTTTCCCCCAAGATGTTTTTTAGATGGGGTCGTTATGTTCACCACCGACCTTGGGGGTCTGGGCTATTGGTCCTCTCAATCCACTATACGTATACAGGAACCCACTATAGACATGAACCCACTACTGTACTAATGAGGTCTTGTTCAGCACCAAGGAGTCCTGGCTTTCCTTTGACGTCATAGCCATGAAATGGTCCTATAGGTTGTGGTGGCTTTTCTTGTTGTTAGTGTCGTTGATTTTAAGGGATTTAGTAGTAATACTAGTAGTAGTAGTAGTAGTTGTTGTTGTTGTTGTTGTTGTTCTTGCCGTGGTTGCTTTTGGTTTCTGTTTGTTTCTTTTGGTTGTGGTTGTGGTTGTTGTGGTTGTTGTTGTTGTTGTTGTTGTTGTTGGTGGTGGTGGTGGTGGTGTTGGTGTTGGTGTTGGTGTTGGTGGTGGCGGTGGTTTGCCGTGGTTGTTGATGTTCTTTTGGTTGGTTGTGTAGGCTTCAAGCACCTTGAGCATATGTCGGTCAAACAGATCAGATAAGCATAGTATAGTGTTCTCCATGGTTCTTCATCCGGAGTTGCCACAGGGTGCGTGCGTACGTTGCATGTTTGTCCTTGGGCAAAGTATTAATACTCCTTCAGCCCTGGAAGCGAACGAAAACAAGGTACAGCAGCTAGAATAATAGGCGGTGATTCAACCCACCACAAGGTCACCAGGTGAATCGAACCCCCAGTGGTTCCCCTAAAAAGTTATTAATGTCTGATTGTATCCAAATTCATCTCTGAAAACATGTCTTAAGGCCAACAAGTTTTCATTGTTTGATGATGTTCTGAAAAAGTTTCTGAAGGTCAAAATATGTTTGAATATATTTATTAATAAGTTCTTTAACCCTGAGTATTGATCAATTGACTATTTATCGGGGTTCTTGTGAACCAGTACTCTATATAGCATGTGTCTATTTAGAGCAGTGGGATTGATTCAGACATCATTTCAGGACAGAACATCAGAACAGTGTCAGACTTTCTGAATGATTCAGAAATCATTTCAATAACAAGACAAAAACATCAGAAGCTCTCAATGATTCAGGAAAAGATCAGAACCTAGTCAGTTGCTTTTTCCTCAGAAACCACTTATTTGCGATACTCGCAAAACCTGGCTGAATAAGACGTTCTAGGTTGCACTCAGGATCCTTGCGGTTCTCATGTGTTCATTTGTATGCCAAATCTGATGTACTGGACATCCAGCGCTTAAGTTTTTTGTGCGGTGAGTCCTTTAGCAAGCTACAGTAGAAATGCTTCCTATCTTCACAAAGCAAGGGACGGTTGATGGAATCTCGTTTTCTTGCGCTATCCAAGCTCTGTGAGGTACACTCAATAAAGTTTATAGATAAGGGTGCCTTGATCATTCGGGTTGTTCTATGTGATTCTTGGCCAACCAAGACTTCAGGTGACGAGATGAGAACTCATCAGGCGGGCTGGCAAAACCCGGGCCCACGGGGGAGGAGCGTCACTTTTGTATGAGTGGATTGGCAACTGGGAAGATGGAAGACTCTTGGAGTCACAGGCCACACCCTGCAGGTGTGTCAGTTGTGCCAGGTTGGTTTGAGATCAGCACTGCCAAAGGACCACTTTGACCAACCAGCATAGTGAAGGATACTCAAACCAAGTGGTAAAGAGTGAGCACAAGTTGCGCCAGGTCAATCACGGGATCTAGATCTTTTAAGAAGCTATTATAGATATTGATATTGATATGCCTCATGTTTGTCCCAGTGGATTCTACTGCAACCGGTGTTGTTTCAGATGCCCTTGGGATCCCGTAGTCGACCTTGGAATGCGATATCGGGAATTTGATGCAAAATTCCATGTCGTGTCCTGATTCCCTCAATAGCTAAAACAGGGCGTCCCCGACTCGCAGGTGATTGAAAAATTACCCTTCAGACTTGGGTCACCCGGGCTTTGAGAGTCAAATGTGTTCAGTTTTTGAACTTCAATGTGGTTACCTGTGCTGTGGAAATGCACGATTTCTATACAGTTGCGCTTGCTTTCTTGACTTCTTTCTTGAGCCCGTCTCTGATGCCGAAGCTTGTCTGGTGTGGGCAACACCACGAGGCCTCTAAGCACAACCCCATCCGAAGGGAGGGACAGCCTCTGAAGGGGCTGGGCATCCCAACCACCGAAACAAAACGAAGGTATTTGGAGCCACAGTGGGTTCCCTGCTGGTGAGGTAGCCTTTTCAGTGTAGCCGCCTTTCGAGTCAGCTGTGACCAACATCTGCAGCTGGGCAGATTTATATTATAGGTCACGGTCATATGACTGACGTGGCAGCGTCCGGGTCTGAATTGTCCAGTTAATCAGATCCACGAAATGGCCCCGGCTTCCCGCCTTTGTGGGTAATGAGTGTGACGTTACTGTCACCAACGAGAGAGGCAGCACTTGTCCTTCTGCCTCAGCTGTACCGATCCTCCCATGGCGCCACCCGACCCTCCCCTCCGCATGGGCAGCCCCGACCCGCGAGGGCGAATCCGGCGCGTGGTACATCCTGACGAAGATGGACGATGGATCGATCCCGTTCCTTCTCGACTGAGGGGGCCCACGTCTTCGCTCGCTGACCACCGACCCTGCGGGGCCCCGCAGGGGCGCGTGGGTGAAGTGGTCTATTTGTTCGACCTAATGTGACACATGCCCTTCTTTAGACCTGCATCCTGGACGAAGCAGCGGATTGGACCTGTCCTTTAAGCCGCCGGAACGTGATAGAATATACGATGAATAGCACCTTTACATATATAGTCTCGCATATACCAGATAGCATCAGATAGCTGATAATCGGATAGCATCAGGATGTTTCCTTAGCTCGTTCTTTGGGGCCACTCTGAGATCCTGCGGTCATCCTTTTTGCTGGCCACCACCGAAATTGCCAGCAGGCTCCATGTTCCGTAGTTCAAAACGTACCTGCATTCCGTGTACAGTAATACCCTGAATATGGGACATGAAGGCTTTGATCTTTGCAAACGAAGAAGCATCATAGGATGGCTACTACATGAGGCATGTTCCAAGCTTTCGCAGCAACTTGAAAGGTCGAGCGTCACGACCAGCGATCGTTTTTCCTTTTTGGAAGAAAAACAGCGTGACCGCCATCGCCGGGTCCCGGGGGCCGAGTGGGTGTCGGTGTCACCGAGGGTTGTCCAGGTGACCCCGATTTTAGGTCGCCCTGCTAGTCAACGCGGCACGTGGGTGGGTTCCAGGGCCCAGCATGCAGAGGTGGGTTCCACGGCCCAGCATCCGATTGATCGGGCACTTGGCAGTGCATGAACTTAAGACACTCAAAAAATCATGAAATGATGCAAGGGCCTAAGGGACTCCTTAGACTGGGGGCTACTGCTGAGTGTTTTCTGTGGAAGGAAGGTGTGAATTTGAGGTCAGCGGTTGATGCTACTGCTGAGAGTAATGCTTCTTTTCTATCAAGCTACCATTGGCTTAGCATACGCATATATATAATTAGAGATTTGGCAAACTTCTTTGACATCCAACTAGCCCATTAGGAAATTCATCAGCCCGTGCCTCGTTGCGCATTTGCGACATACGTGTCGCCAACAGGCTGCCATGGGACTTCAAACAGAAAAGCTGCCAGACTTGGTGACCCAAATGAAAGCGAAGGATCCCGGGACGCACCCGACTGACCCGGGAAGTACTTGGGAGAGGGACTGAAGCGACGTGACCGGTATACCACGACGCGCGACCATTGCAATTGACGGGTCCCGTGAAGTTCCCGGCTGCACCAGATTCGAAAAAACGGAGCGAAATGACCCGACCCGGAGTTGGGACGACCCACCCTTCCAAATTATGATCCTTATCGAATCCATGTTTTTGGGGGGGGTCAGGATGGGGCATGGATTGCAGGCGGAACACAAGTGTTTTTTCATCTAAGTTTCAAAAACCATCTCCTCAGAAGGTATACCAGTCTGTCAGCCCACCCCACCGCACTCGAAGCTCGAAGCCTTGCCCGGTGGAGTGGATGCACCGGGTTGGAGTGGGTTGGAGTGTCCAAAAAGAGGTGGGTGGAGGCCAAATGGGCCAGTGGATCTCGGAATGAAGCACTTCAGATTCAACTAGCAAGATTGTCTTCTGCCACAAGATGGTCAAGTGGTCTTTTTTTCACCAAAACTTGCGCTGAACCCGCAGTGCTCACTAGTGCTCACTGGTGCTCCTGACATCTCCTGACATTTTGCAAGAGGTAATTCACCTATGTCTAAAAGCATTTATTTGGGGTCACAAGATACAAACCCAAGACTGTTTTGTTCTTAAAACGGGATCCAAGCAGTTTGTACGTAAATGAAGTCCGTGGCTGTCTTCCCAAAGCTTAGAGGAGCAGAGTTGGTCTGTCTGTAGACTCGATGGAGCACGCCCAGTACCCTTCAAGGCACCCCATCTACTTGTAATTGGAACGTCCGTGTTTTGAAGCTGGTATCCCTTAAAAGTATCAATCAAATCCACCCAATGGTGGAGTCCCGGTCTATGCCAAATGGGTCACCTCCCGGTCGATGTCTTGATGTCTTACCCAAGTTGCTTGATCGATCTTCCCCCAGAAGACCCCCCTCCGAATGGCTCCCCACCGATAGGACGGCTGCTTTGGCCGACTGGTGATGACACTGGAGTGGCAAGAGGCCGCAAATCCGGATCTATGAAGGAGTCTTAGTGATCACACTGGAGATTTCCACCTCAAACAGTCAACTGACTATGAAAGTCCAGTGGAGACTCCAGTCCGTGTGGAGACTCCAGTCCTTCCTCATATCCTGTCCATCGATCTGAAGATCTACCTGGTCCTGGTCCATGAGTCGTCGACTGTTGAGTCGACAACCCACTGAGTCGAAATCAGGTGGTACATGGTTTCAGGTCATAGCTTTGAAGACTGGGCAGGAAGGTCCCAGGAAGTTCGCGGTATGAAAGATCGACTGTGTTGTGAAGATGGTTTGACCATGTTTGAACTCATATGGGTGTGTATGTTTCATAGGGAGACCACCCAAAGACCTCCTGGAACAAGGCAGAATACCAAAAAGCTTGTTGGGAGGTCCCCCTATTCAAATACAAGCCCAATATCTGGATGGATAGCTTGGTGGGTCCGGGTTGTCCTTCGGGTGTTCTTTTACCTTGGCTACTCAGTGATGTACATGTTTCTGCCACAGTATCGTACAGCGTATGTGGCTTGAAGTTTTCCCATCTATTTAAGGACTGCGAGATAACCCCTGCACGACCCCCCCCTGAACTCATGAACGCAACAGGAAGAGAATATGCACCATCATCCTGCCAGCCTGTGGCTTTTGTCAGTAAAGAAATAACCTTGTGCAATCGCTTTTGCCTCGCCTTTTGCGTGCAAGGTGAGGATGATCGATGAACAATTCTTTGAGGCCTGGTTTTGACTGATGTGGCTCAAATGTTGAGAAGAACATCGTCTACACCCCAGTCATCCGTTGGCAGACCCTCCCCATGCAGAGGCCTTGGATCTACCTCAGATGGCTCAGTTTTACACTCCCTGAAACTATCATGGCTACGTGGATGGCATTCCCTTCCAGGCCATGAAATCCTCTAGACTCTAGAATGAACAGAGGCTGAACTGGACTTCCATGTCTTTTTGGAGTGTAAGAGACTGGGCAAAAGAACGAAACAGCAACGGTCGGTTGCCACAAGATCGGTCCGTCGGTAGAGCTGTTTGTTTCACGAGCCGATGGTCGGTTGCCTGGTGATTTCCAACCGGTTGGGAGTTGTGCCCTTCTTCGACCTTGAGGTCGGTCACCCTAAAGCTATGCCGGGCCAAGCAGCTGCACATCAGGATGGACACTAAAAACAGCGTCCAAAAGTACAAGGTAGTGAGACATTCCTGGCTGCCAAACAGTTCTTTTCATACCTGCAAATTCCTGAACACATGTCTAACAAATAAAGACATTCCTAATGCCAAGGTAAAGACATTCCTAATGCAATATTAAACAAATCAATAATTTTGATGCAAGCATGTGAAAGTTGCAGACAGAAACAGTTGCTTCGATCCAATAGTTGTAGATGACTTACAAGCATGGGGTTTGTGAGTGGATTCATCAAAGGTCATGAACCACAAGATATGGAGTTTCCCACCCTTGGGTTGACCCTTTTTTAAGCCTTTTATTCAAGCCATGTCACATGCAGCACATGCAGGTGCCTGTCACAGCAGCTGCGCAGTGTGCAGGCTGGGGATGTGGTCGTACGATGTCGTATGGCGGGGATCAGATGATGATGATGGGAGTCGAATGTACCCCAAATCCACAAACTTTCGTTGTTGATGGAGAACGCCAACTCGGCAAGATCTCCTTGATTCCTTCATTGTCTCCATGATCCGTGTTGATTTGTTGAGCCGACTTGATGGATTCCATTAGTGACCAGCAGCCATAGCCCAACGAACAAGCAGCCAGGCAGCCAACCAAATCAAACCAACCAAACCAGCCCTCCTGGCCCAACAACACACATAACCTTACAAAGGATTGTGTGTGTGATCATTGAATTCTAGGAAATGAACATTTGTGAAATTGTGTGAATATAATAAAGGTATATGTATGTGAAACCATAGCAAACATATTTGAGCTCCACGTGACGAGTGGGCAATAGCCCTCCACTCCAGCATCAACGCCGTTGTCTGAGCATGCACCGATTGTGGAACTCCGATGAAAGAGGTCAATCATGACCAACCCTGTGTAAAGAGTCTGAATGCAATACACTCAACTTTGGATCCCTTTTAAAGGGCTCCCTTTAACGCAGAGATCGTCAATCGAAATGAACATAGAGGACACACTCTTTTTGCTGAGGCCATCCCCATCCTTTGCTCTACTTGTCTACCTCGGAGGAGGCCGTGAATCGTGGACAGGGGGCGGCATTTGGACGCCTGGTGTTTTTTTTGAGATGCTTGTAGGTTTGTATAGTGTTCAGGAATCTTCGGGAATGTACAATAATTGCTTCTTATACTTGGAGAGTTGCAACAAAATCCTCCTTGGATGCACCCCTGAGTGGTTATGAGTTGTTTGTTTGCATATGTTCCGGGTAGGTGTTTTATATACATATATATTATCCCAAAGCGCCATGGTCGCATGCCCACCGCCTCCCAGAAAAATAAACACATATACACAGGTGATGCGTTTGTGCATGCAACGTTACAGGTTTAGAGGATTTTAAAGGTATTTGTGCTATTGTTTCCCACTATACAAAGATATAACATCTGTATCATTAAGGTGCATGTTGCCAGTTTACATGGCCACATCACTTCGTTTATCGTGTCGGTGCGTTGCTCAAGCTTCACCTGAGGGGACGGGTGTGTCGCTGGAGATTCCCACGGACGCGGCCGTGTGGAGCGTGGTGAGTTCCTGACATAATATCCACGATCTTGACGAAGTCCTGGATGAAGAAGATTTCACCAACCATGGTAAAGAAATGGTTTTGGTCAATGGGTGACTGACTGTTTGCGGCTGTATCACCAGAGGGGAGAGAACACAATTGGTTAACAGGGCCATCAGCAATTTGGGTTGAAGCCCAGTGGCTCCGCGACTTCCGGTAGCTCAACGTGGTCGTTTTCGGCCGGTCATTTTGCCACGGCGAGGGCATCTTCGTGGTACTGGTGCCCTGGCAGGGCCTCGCCATGAAAGACGAGGACACGGTGGGAAAAACTGGACTTCAGGACTTCAAAGTGGGACACTCCGGCAGCTGAAGTTGCCTTTTGCATCACCTGGAAGGTCTTTTGGGCCAGGACAGGGGAAAAAGTGGGAAACTGTTGCTTGTTG